TTAAAGTGAAAGGGAACTAGTAAGTAGGAGAAGAAAATGTTAAGAAGGAAGTAAACAGAAAGATATTTCAGCAAAGAAGGGCTTTTTTGCTGAAGAACCTACATCAGAGGGAACCTACATCACAGAGGCTGATGTATGTCCAAAGAGAGCTGTAAAGAATGAGATCATATGTATCCATCATATGTCTATCATACATCATAGTCATGTACATATGGTTAGAGGATATTAAAATATCTGATCTCAAAGTTCAGTGCGTTGATGGCAAACCTTGATTTAAGTCAATAGAATTCTATTAAGTTATTGATCTTTTCTCGACAACATTTACAAAAGTTGGCTTGGAGAACAAAACCTGTGTGTCCAATCCAGATTTATTTATTTATTTACTTGGTGTCCTGTCTCTGCTTTATATAAGTACTACACGGCACATACCTGCATTTTAAAGCATGGTTTAATCTTCAAAACTGATGTAACTGACATGCCTATAGTTCTGCATTGGTGTGGACAGAGGAAATAAAATTGCTCATATTTTGGCACTTGCCACCTAACATCCACTTCAGCCATTCCCAGAGGAACATAGAACACCTCTCAAAGGGCCCCAAGCTCTGGCAAGTCAATTGTTCTCTCCATCTGAGACCCAGAGGTTACACATTCTGGAAAGAGAAGAGACAACAGAGAGGGCAAAGTCCTCAGTGCTTTCAGAAGAAGCCACGGGGGGGGGGGGGGGAGAAAAATCCCGACTTATCTGGAAATGGCACACTGTGTAAAAAAAAAAGTTAAGAGAACCACATGGGAAGATGGCTTCAGAGCAGGCAAAGGGGAGCAAGATGGAGGCAGCAGGGCTGCTATGTCCCATGGAGCTGAAGTTAGAGGTGTTTGTCAGCCAGCCAGCGTGGGTGCTGCAATCTAGACTCCATCCACATGATGGAGCACCAAGTAGCTCAGTCACTGAGCTACAGCTCCAGTTCCTGATTCAGACACTGAAAAATATCCTTTGTTTTGCCTTTTCCTGGCTCTCGTCCTAGGTCTTGTAATATTAAGCATTTGTTTGAAATCCATCTGTTTCCAGGTGGAGTGGAATCATTTCTTGTGCTCAAAGAGCACTTGTCTCTTTGCTTTCCTTACACCTTCTCCCTCACATCACTGTCCAGGGACCAAAGGCTTCCTTTCCTCCCCTCCCCTGGCTGTTACACAAATGAAACATGGAAGCACTGTGAAGGTCCCTTAGATAGGACCACTGGAGGGGTGCCCTGACTGACATGCCCAGTATCCTTGCTCAGCACAAAGACCAGTCATTGCTTGTGTTTTCTCGTGGCAGTTAGGGTTGCTGCTTCTGAAGGGAACGATGAGAACAGATGACTGAAATGGGTCAGGCAGTTTTGAAGGCAGAGATCTTGATTCTTGTCCTTGGCTGTTCTGGTTGGAGGTCAGAAACGCCAGAAGTATTTTGGGGCTCGAGTTCCTGATCTTATTTCTTGTTATCTTTCTTCTCCATCTCTACAGCTGCCTGGAAACTGTAGGTGAGGGTGTGGCCAAACCCCAGTCCAGATACCTTGGGATGGAGAGGCACATGGATGCCATATAGGTAGAACAACTGGACCAACCAATCCCCACAACCCCTTTTCTTTCAGACGTTATAGAAAAGCCTTGATAGTAGCAACTCAATGGCACCCCATCTCCAGGACCTTCTCTCGTGCTTTATAGGAGATTGGCTTGCTTCTTATTTCTTAACCTCTTACCTAGGAACCTATGATAAACCTATTTCTAAAAACTTGCCCTCATGAAATTCATTCTTTGGATTTGTGAGACAAGAATCTGGAGACACTGACCCAGTGGAAGGAAGTCTGCCTGACTCTTAGCTACCAGCCCTTAAATTCCTGAATTAAGCCTGCTTGAAGCTAGACAGCCTATGCTATACTCAAGGAACCCACTTTCTCCAAGTTTTAAAGGGATTGAGAGGCCCATTTGGATGGATCCTTGATAGAGATGTCATTGATGTATCTTTGTTCATTATCAGAAAAATCTCTTGTTAGATAGTAACCTTATGAATCTCTGACAGCCATATACTCTTGTCCCAATGTAGGGCCAAACATGCAGTTCAGATCCCATACCCCTTAAAAGAAGTCTTATGATGTAACAGATGAGAAAGAATTAAAGGGAAGAAAATCTATGGAAATAGCCATCTTTATCAGGAGGAAGTAGCCTTTCTGCGCTGTGGCTAAGAGCACTAGGTGCTCCATCATGAGGATCAGAGTCTGGACTGAAGCACCCACACTGGCTTGCTAACAAACACCTGTAACTTCAGTTCTAAGGGACCCAGCAGCCCTGCTGCCTCCATCTTCCTCCCCTTTGTCTGCTCTGAAGCCATCTTCCCACGTGGTATTTTAACTCTTAAGGAGGGTAAACTCTTAATGATACTAGTTCCCTCCTTTCACATGGAATTCCAAATTGCAAGGAGGAGAAGCTGCGGTACCCTTCCCTTCTTTAAGGAATATCAGCAGGGCAGCTGGGTTAGAAGGGAAGGCTAGAACAGGCCTCTGCCCTTCAGAGGGCAAAGGTAACACCCAGGGAACAGACTGCCAAGTGCTTGAGTATTTCACCAACCAACCTATAAAGCTTCAGAGCGAGTTCCTTTTAGGAGCCTGGGGAATGCTTTTCTTTGAGGTTGGTCTTCAGTCCATTTCCCCAGTCCTGACCTTGAATACATCTGTCTCCTCTTCCAATCTCAGTCTTGCCTGTGGCTAGGGTCTCTCTCTCTCTCTCTCTCATACACACACGTGCACACACACTCACACACACACAAGCACACACATAGACATATAAGTAAACACGCATACATAGGCAAGCATGCACACACACTCTTTCACACACATACATATACACATGCACACACTATCTCACACACATGCACATGTATGTACACACACATACATACACATGCATGCACATACACTTTACACACACTAACATACACACATATACAAATGCACTTTCTCACTCTCTCCTTCCCTCTTTCCCTCCTTCCCTCTTTCCCTCCTTCTCTTCTTCCCTCTCTCCCTCCTTCCTGCCTTCCTTCCTTCTCTCCTTACCCTTTCCCTCCTTCCTTCCTCCATTCCCTATAGACCCAGGTTCTCATAGAAGATGACAAAGAATCAGGATCCAGAAGCATCTTCTGGCATTCCTGGCAAGGGTGTTCTTTGAACTGTGGCTTTGGGTCCCTGCCCTACCAGACCAGTTTCCGTTTCCTGTTCTCACCACTGCTGAAGAGCTGAGACTCTGTTTTGGATCCAGGAAAACCTTCAAGGGGTTGTTTGTGGTCTTGGTTATCAAGCAAAACACAGCTCTCACCTTAAGGGGAATAAGAGATGGTTTATTCTTAGCTACCATAGCCTAGGAATATAAATTTGAATTGCCTCTTAAATTACACTTTGGAGTGAAAGTGATTAAATGATTTATTTTTTCCCCTTTTTTCTGTCTGTCTTCCTTTGTTTCTCTTCTCTTCTCTTCTCTTCTCTTCTCTTCTCTTCTCTTCTCTTCTCTTCTCTTCTTTTCTTTTCTTAAGACAGGATTTCTCTGTATAGCCCTGGCTGTCCTAGAACTCACTTTGTAGACCAGGCTGGCCTCGAACTCACAGAGATCCACCTGCCTCTGCCTCCTGAGTGCTGGGATTAGAGATGTGCACCACCACACCCAGCTTATATAATTTTTTTATAGTCATAAAGCAAAAGAAGTCTGTGGACCCAGGGATTTGTCACATGCATCAATGGGGACAGCAGGTAGATGGGTTACAGAAAAGGAGAGAAAACTCTTCTGTGGGTCTCAGACACTATCCAATGATAATCTTTAGTTTTGGAGTTGGAAACTCATGGTCTGTTATACATTACAAAGTTTTATCTGATAGTTGAAGAGGTGTTTGCTTAGATACAGAGGTAGGTAATAAATGACTACTAAGGGAACTATACTTTTGGCTCTGGATTTGCAGCATTCTTACTCCCCACAATTACAAAATTCTAATCAGCCAATCAGCTTTGTTGAATCTTCAACACAGGTGTGCCTTTTTTCTCCCTGGGAATTTTCTGGGGAGGATGCTTCACCCTTAGCTTTGTTTAGTTTTCAGATGCCATGTGGGAAGCCAAGTTCCCTCCCGTGACCTGGGTTGTCAGGGGATGTGGGAGTTTTATTTCAGTCTGTAGTGGCCTTCCTGCTATGTACAGGCTGTGCTGGGGCCGGGAGTGGGGGTCCTCTGCTGTATCAGTTCTTCTCTGGTATCCATGCCACCATTAAGGCCCTGAGAGTAGGCTCTGTTGTGTCCTGTCCAGGTCACATGGGCTAGAGGAGCAGGTGGAGGATGTTTCTGGGACCATGTTCCACAGCAGTCATTACTCTGTTGTCCACCACACCACGAGGTCAGGGCTTCTGTCGTGGGACTGTCCCAGGGCTGTCCACCTTGAGGGTTTTCACCCTCTCTCAGCCCCATTCCTTTGCACTCAAGGCCCCCAAAATGCCTCTGGGCTCCTGAGGGTCCCCTTCCTAGCCACTCCCATTCCTTCAGTGTATTTCCATCTTCCTTCTTGGTCATCCCTGCAGGGCCTGGCCTTTGGAGAGTCAAAGGCCTTTTTCTCTCTCTCTTTTTTCTTTCTATTTTCTCTCACCTGTCCTGCTTTCTGGCTGGGTCTCATTCTAATCCAGACTGACATGGAACTCACTCTGTAGCCTAGGCTGCCGCAAACACATGACAATTTCTCTACCCTTGCCTCCAAGTTCTGGGATGATGGGTGTGATGGGTCTTTACTTCTGCAGAACTCAGAGATCTGAAGGGTCATAGGAGAGCTAGAGCTGGGAAGGATGCCCTCATCTAAACATTTCAAAGCAGCTTCCCAACTGGCAGGAAACACAGCAAACTCAGATCCAGACTCCCAGAGGAAACATCTTTATTACAGCTTCGAACTCCACCGGCACTGCTCCTGATCATGGGCTTTGGGGTATTAAGCATGCGCAGCCAGGGGCAGGGTCTGGCCCTGTGCAGAGCAGCTACTCAGGAATGGTCAGGTGGATGTAATCCTGTGGACAGAGCAGAGTGTCTCTATGTGCTCCACTTCTCACACAGTCTGCCCTGACACTCCACAGGCGCCCACACCTGTGACCTGTGAGTGGGATAAGGGCGTAGAGCAGAGGGGAAGTGAAGTCTTGGAGTGTTTATGAGGACAGGAACACACTGGACTTTGGAGCTCTTTTTGAGGTATAGTGACCAAGAAACCAAGGGATGAGTGAACGGATGAGTGAACGGACGAGTGAACAGATGAGTGAACGGATGAATGAACGGATGAATGAACGGACAAGTGAACGGATGACTGAACGGACGAGTGAACGGTGAGCAACCAGGGCAGCCATGCAGGGATGCGTAGGCTGTGCACTGTCCAGCTCCAGGTGGCACTTTTTCCTCCAACCCACACTCTGCATGGTGCTCTGTGTAGTCATGTCACTCACGACCTGAACAATGGCACAAGGCGGCCTCGAGGCGAATCAGCAAGTGAGCCTTGCTTTTCACAGGTCTGGTTATGAGGCAGTGTTTCAGTGGCTGGTGGCTCCAGCTGTGTCCTGGCTCTGTTCATTCAGATCTGTCAGCAGGCCCCACACACCCTGTCAGCACCTGATCTGATGGCCCCAGGGCTGGTGGCATTATTTTTAGGGCATAAACAAACCCTGGGTTACCTGGATGTGTTCCTCTAGGCCTACTCAAGCAACTCTCTTGGGTCTCTCTTGACTCTTTAAGGTCTCTAGGCTGATGTCAGGGATGAAGAGTAGGCTGGGAGTGGGGAGTGGAAGACACTGAGTGGCCTGCTGCCCTTCTCGCCTCAGGTTCCTGAAGGCAGGCTTCTGTGGTCAGGAATGGGGACGGGAGGCCAGGGCCTAAGTTGGGCCAAAGCCCAAATTCATTCATATATATAGCCTGGAACTCATGATCCTCTTACCTCCACCTCCTGAGTACTGGGATTACAAGTATGTGCCACCACTTTGGAAATCTTTTCAAGGTGAAAGATAAGAAAATGAGGAGTATGTTTGAGCCCTACCCTTCCTACCAACTCCTTTCTCCATCTCCCAAGATCCTTGTATCTGTCTCTCTGTCCTGTTCCCCCCTCCTGCTCCCCATCTGGAGTTTATCATGGTCATGGTTGGCCTTCAGGAGACATTTCATTCTGGGAGATGTGCTCTATTAGCTTGAGATTACATTTCTGCCTTCCAACTTTTCTTCAGCAATTGCCTTCAAATATTTTTTTATCTTTCTAAAAAAATTTCTAATTTATTTTATTTGTATCTATGTATGTATATGTTTGCATGTCTGTGTGAGTGTTTGCTGTGTGTGCAGGGACCAGAAGAGGGCATCAGATCCTCTGGAGCTGGAGTTGTAGGTGGTTGTGAGCTGCTACATGTGGGTGCTGGGAACAGAGCTTGGGTCTTCTAGAAGAGCAGCAAAAATATTCACTACTGGGACCTCAGCCCTGGAACTCTCCTTAAATGAACTTTCCACCCTTGGGAAGAAATGGGAGCAGGACAGGCTTGTAAGCAGATCCCCAGGCAGCATCTTAGGGCTCCCCTCCACTTCCTTTCCTTCAGGTTGGCTGTCTGGTCTCCCTACCCAACCCCTGCTTCTCACCCCTGGATGTTTGCAGACAGCAGGCCCTGGGTCCAACAGCACTGTTTGTAGGTACCGTGAGTACATCCAGGATACCTCAGTTCTAGGGCAATTGTAGGTCCTGGCTAAGATCATAGACTTTGAGGTCAGATCAAGACCCCTGCTTTGTCACATTAGCCTTGCTTTTCTGCTTTTCTGAGCCTCAGGTCTCCTCTTGAATGAAGTGGGGAGATAGCATTAACTTTGTCTGTGTAAGGGGAGATGTTCCCCATGAGCCCTGTGCTCTGGCTTCCAGAGGCACTCATGTCCGTCTCCAAGGCCTTAGTCACCTATAACTGCAGCGCGACATCTAGCATAGTTGTGAGGTAATAGGAGAGGCAGAAGGATTGGAAGCAGCCTCAGCTTCTAACTTCTTGCCTACTTGCTGAGCATCATGGGGAGACCCCTCCCACTGCACCTACCTCAGAGAAGTTCGGTTGGGCATGGCTGAAAGAGATGCCCCTGATGTCGGGCAGTGGGAGGCCATGTTCTCTGAGCCACCCTGTAAGAGGAAGGCAGGAGCTCAGGGCCTGGTGGGCAGGGCTGACTGGCAGGTATGCTTGGGAGGTTTCCAGACCCTAGCCAGAGGCTTTCTGTAGCCAACCCCTTAGTCAGGCAGCCCTGAACAGCAAGCAGCCCAGGAAAAGCGGTGGAGGTGATGTCAACATGATAATGCCATCTTCAGATGTGTTGGGCCACATTCATAGCTACCCTGGGACACATAGGCCATGTGAGCCACAGGTTAGGTACTCCTGATTGTCTCCTGGTCCCCCCACAATTCGCTTATACTTGTCTTTTAAAGGAACATTAAAAAAAAATATACCCTAGACCTGTGAACACATTCTTAGGAAGGTATCCTTTTCTGTGGTATTTTAAGGAAGATTCAGTTTGTTGAAGACTGAAGACTTCCTGTGAATCTACTCAGAAAACACACCCTACCTAATTCTCACACTGAAACTGAAAAATACTAACATTCTGGTAGAAGTGAAACATCTCGAAAATAGACGAGACAGGAGTCAGAATCAACTTGAAAATGCTAGAAATTTGGCTCTGTTAGACTGTATCAAAGAAGGCAAGTATTCACTGATATGCTTGCTTGCCAAATATCTAAAAACTAAGCCTCAAACCAATAAATCCACAGAGCTGGCCAGTGCACAATTAGTGCTTCTGTGAACTAATCATTTGTCTAGCTGATTTTCAATAAACTGAGTTGTGAAAAACTGAGGGTCTGGCATGACCTTCTCCTGTCCCACCACCTTCTGCTGAGCAGCCGCACCCATCTCCTCCAGCCACTGTGGGCTCGGAGTGATCTGGCATCCTCTTGTTGGCCTAATGCTCACTTGGAAGTTGGGTGGTGGGAGAGGATAGAGGAAGAAGAGCCCACACATTTGTTCTCCTTTTTGTTCTCAGACCTCATTGGGGTCCCAGCCTGAGGGCCCCTCATTCTAGTCTTCTCCATGGGGCTTACCCATGTCTCCCCACTACTGTTTCAAATATCTCTCCTGGGTTTCCTCACTGGCTCGCACTCTGTCCTCTGGGTGGGGGTGTGGTATGAGCAGCACCCTATGGCAGTGAGCAGGCTCCTGGCCTGGAGTTTAGACCTTGTATGACCATACCAACTTCTGGGCCTGGCCCACTTCCTGGCTTGTCTCTTGACTCCTGTGGTGTTTCGGAGTGTGCCACACAAGTGAGTGCCTGTGGTGGGCACAGAAAGAATTGTCTCTATCTCCTCAGCCCCTTGCAGGTAGCATCCTTGCCTGTCTGACCTCTCTGGCTGCCCTGCTGGACCTCCCATTGCCCCCAGCTCTGTGCCCCACCAGTCTCCCTTTTTAAACAGGTTCGCTTGCTTCACGCCCAGAGCCTTCCCTGGGAATATGGAAGGAAGGAAAGATGGAAGCCTGGCCAGAATTTGAGTCTCTGCCAACTTCTCAAAGTGATTGCTCTCCTAATGTGACTCAGAGCGCAAAAGACCCCCAGCTGAGAAAGCAAGGAGTTAAGATCCTAGACTCAGCTTGGCCAGAGATTTGCTGGGTCACCTTGGACAAGTCACCTAACCTCTCTGGATCTGTAGAGTGGGCTCATCTAAAAGATGAAAAGGCTGAGCCAGATAATCTCTCAGGGGTTAGTAGGGCTGGACCATTTAGCTCATATATGTGTATGTGTGTGTGTGTGTGTGTGTGTGTGTGTGTGTGTGTGTGTATACATATACATAGGATATATTTATCTCCTATTATTCTATATCACTTGGTGTGAGTCAGTGGACAGATGCTAGGAACACAAGGAGAAGCACAAGGACCTGTGTCCCTGGGAAGCTCATCATGTAGTGGGGCACAGGTACTGACCGAGTAACCATCTTCCTGGCTCACCTCCCCAGCTGTCTACACTGCTTTGTCTCAGCATCTGGGGAGCCCAGGATAACACAGGGGGTTTTGGAAAATTCTGGATTCCTCATAGCTAGAGGTGAGGGTGCTGTATTGTGACATTCAGCTTTCAGCTTCTCTGGCAGGTACAAATGCCCACTGTACTGATCATGTTTACAGTGCGAGCTACCCACTGTAGCCAGCCTGCTGTCCTCAGCCCATCTAGCTTTCCATTGGGACCACTGACAGCTGGCCTCATTCTCGCTGAGGCTGAGTGGCTCCTCCCCTCTGAAGGCCCCTTCACTGTGACTTTACATCCTCTCTGCAGCTACTCTTCTGGCCACCTGCCCATGCTCTGAGCTTGCATCAGTATTAGCATTAGCAGCCTCTGCAACTTGTACTGCCTCCTGCTTTGCCTGGAGGCCAGTCTCCACCCAGGCAGCTGTTTGTAGCTTCCAGGGACATGCCTGGCGCCCCCTCCAGCAATGTACTGTGATATGTGGCCTGGCAGAGAAGTATATCGAGACTCACTGTTGTGATGAGGCAGGAAGTGCCTCTTCAGGACCGCCCAGAGCAAGGACTTCAGGTGCTCTTCCTGCAATGGGAAACAGCAGGCAGCTCAGTTCCTCTAGCTTGGTACATTCCAAGCCAGGCTCAGGAGATGCTGTCATACAGAGGCAGTGCAGAGTCTGGGGAAGTCCTACAGACGCCACCTTAAAAATACCCAAAGTCAAAAAAAACAAAAACAAAAAAAACAAAAAAACAAAACAAAACAAAACAAAACAAAAAAAAAACCCCAAAGTCTTTCTGTGTAGGCTAGGCTGGCTTTGAACTTGCTCTCCTCATGCTTTAGCCTTCCTAGTGCTGGGATTACAGGTGCCACCATTTATATCCTGATGCCACTTTTGAAGGACTTTGGAGCCTTTGGGTCAGATTAGTGAAGGGCCAGGGGAAATACAGAGGGGGCCGAAAAGGAAAAACCCCAATAGGCTCCACTTCTGCAGGAGAGCTGGGAAGGGAACAGAAGGGCCTGTGGGAGCCCTGGGTGCAGCTTTGCAGGGACCAACTCTGGGTCAGTGTGAGAGACAGACTTCTAGGACTGAGAGTTACTGGGACATCTTGAAACAGCCTCCGTCCCTAGAAGTGTGCAAGGTGGTCTTGATCAGACTGCCAACTCATCAGGACACAGCAGAAGACTCCCTCAGATCCCTTTTGTTTGCTGGGAGATGCTATTGCTAGACACAGAATTTTACTTGTCTGTGGTGTGGGTGGCTTATGCAGGATACAAATTGTCTGACCATGCGTAGTCATTCCTGGTCTGATGGATGCCCTGTGATATGACATAGAAGAGCTTCCTGACCTGAGAAAAGGAATCTTACTGTCTCTGGCCCAGATTCTACACAAGTGAAAATGTTTTGACAAGTACCATAATATTCTGTAGGGCAGGTCTGGGTTGTGGGTCACCTGCCAGGCCTGGGTTCCGGCCCCAGGGAACTCTCTCCCTACAGCATTTCTAGGTTGGGACCCTCACTCAGCCCCACCACCTGTGGCTTTTCTTCTTTTGGGTTAGAGCCGGTGTCACACAGGCCTACAAAGAGGACTAGTGGGCCATGGGGAGGGGCACCCTTCTTTCCAAGCAGGAGCATGATCAACTCTTGGGGGAATAGTTGTGCGTTGCATCAGCAGTGGCTTGAGCTCAGGGACTGAAAGCTGGCTAGTTCAGCCTTGTTGCCTAGCTCCCTGCACCCCTGTGTTCAGTCCGGACAAAAAGACTGGCCCTTAAAGACCTTGCCCCATCTTACATGACTCTCCACCTCCTTCACCTTCTCTGACCCGTCAGGGAATCCCACTAGCTAGGTCCACCTTCAAAACACCCGACTCTTGTGTGCTCAGCCACCATGACCTACTGTGAACCTCATCCACCTTCTGCTGGCTACACGCTGCTGAGGGCCCCATTGCCTTCTCTAGTGTTGCTTCTCCTCTGCCTGCACTCTCTCAAGAAGGCTTCCATCTTAGTCTGAGGAAAAGTTGTCCCAGTATGACTGCAGTACGACCTGCCCTGCCATCTCTTGATGTCTTGCTCTCTGCTGCAGAGCCCTGGCTCTTCCCTGAGCCCTTTGGGGCTCACTCAGTCTTCTTGGGCCTTTGGTTTATCCCTAGTCCCCCCACTTCTGCTTGGAGTCTTTGCTTAAAGCTTACCTCCACTGGGTGGCAGTGGCTCACGCCTTTGATCCCAGCACTCAGGAGGCAGAAGCAGGTGGATCTCTGAGTTCAAGGTCAGTTTGTTCTACAGAGTGAATTCCAGGACAGCCAGGGCTACACGGAGACATCTTGTCTCGAGCCCCCTCCCCAAACTCACCTCAATGCATCCCTCAGATTCCTTTAAAATGATTTATTTATTTTATGAACATTGATATTTTGCTTGCATGTATGTCTGCATGAGGGTGTTGGATCCCCTGGAACTGGAGTTATAGCCAGTTGTGAGGTGTCATGTGGGTGTTGGGAACTGAACCCTATCTTTTGGGAAGAACAGCCAGTGCTCTTAACCACTGAGCCGACTCTCCAGCCCCCAGACTCCTTTCTAATGTTGCTGATCCCCACACCAACCCTGCTTCTCACTTCGTGATGCTATCACGTGTCTCCATGCTGTATAATTTGCTTTGCTGAGGTTTATATAGGCTTATTTATGTCTGTCAGCCAAGTGAATTCCCAAAGGGTGCAGACCTTTGTGTTGATACTTGACCCATTTGTGTATCTAAGGAGGGCTAGGTACATAGTAGGTGCTCAATTATTAATTTTTTTATATACATGAAAGCATGAAACAGACAAGCCCAGAGCTCCAGATGCTTTACCTTATAGGATTTGGGGGCTCCAAGGTGAGATGGGATTATGGACAGAGCATGACTCAGGCTTTCAACTCTATGTTAGTGACTTGACACCATTTACTCTGTACATTTAGGACACAGGGCTGAAGGAAGGGACTCACCTGCTTCTCAATGATGGTGGGATAAGAGCTCAAGGTGACTACAGCGCTGTCAGAGGAAAGAGAGTAGGTCAGTGAGTGAACTGGGGGCGGGGTCTAAGTGCCTACCCTTCCTAGCCTTCCTCGGGCACAGCAGGGGGCTGGTGTCCTTAACTACCCTCTTTCTCCCCACCCACCACTGCCAGCTGTCTTATATTTCCCAATCCAAAACCCGTTACCTGTGTGGCGTAAACTGGAGTTCCAGTTTCTCACTCCTTGAGGAGAATGCAGCCTTGGAGAGGAGTTGCTGTGAGGGATTGAAAGCAGGCAGGGCAGAGTTGGAGTTGTTCCTACTGAGGGGGCATCTGGCCCCAGCCCCAAGTCTAGCTCCAGCTGCATGAACTTGTGTTCTGCCCCATGGTCCTTACCCTGTACCCTTGTCACTGTCTTCCCCACACGGTGCCTATATGGGCATCATTGTGAGAGGGGACACTGAGGGGCTGGCTGCTCCGAGAGGGGCAGGGGAGGCCAGGCCTGAGCCTGAGGCAGGCTCCATGTAAAGGCAGCCTTGGTCCTGGAGTCAGCCTTTCCGGAAACCGGTGGGCTCCTTACCTGTGGCCATGTTGGCACGAACCCAGGGCCTCACATCAGGCAAGGGCTCTCTCTACCACTGAGCAACAGGCCTGATTTTTTTTTTTTTTTAATTTTGAATGGATTCTTGCTATGTTGCTCAAGTTGGTCTCAGGCTTCTGAGATGTGATCAGGCTTCAGGTGATCCCTCTGCCTCAGCTTCTCAAGTAGCTGGGACTATAGTGTGGACCGTCACAGCTGGCTCCCCTTGATTTTGTGGGATTGTTGTTACACTTCTGTAACTCATATGTACAGGTACAGGGCTTTCCGACACCACTGAGGGATAGTTGGCGCTTGGTCATACAATGATGCCATCGAAGACCCAAGGACCCTGTTACGTCCTTAGGATGCCGTCCAGCACATTTATGGTAGAGTGACTCTTCTGGCCCCTCATTTGAGGCACTTTCCAATTTTGAGGCCAGGGCATTCAGAATCAAGAATGGGGGGGGGTTTACACTTCCCAGAATTCTCCCCAATGTTTGGGGTTGTCAGGAGCATCTTGGCTCTAAGTTTTCTTCCAGCTTTGTGACTCAGCCATGTCTAAGGGAGTCCTTTAAAAGTCCTAACTGCACCCTATAGGAGGGTCTGGAGCCGAAACTTCTTCATAGCCTAGGAGGTCCTTGGGGAGCCCCAGGGAGAGAACAGGAGTACAGGAACTAGTTACTGTCCTGGCAGGGGACAGCTGCCCACATGTAGACTGGTAGCAGATGGTGGTGGGACTGGTCACAGCTGTCCCATCTCCCTCCCTCAGTCTGCAGGCTGGGAACCAAACCCGTGAAGTTCCACTCACCCAGGCAACTGCACCAGAGGAGGCATTGTTGCTCCCCTGCAGTGCCAGTGAGCCCTGCTGGGTGACAGTGGCCCTGAGGCCATCCATGTGGACAGTGGGGGGGTCCGGGGTGCTGATGATCAGGCCCAGGCTCCCTCTGGTCAGATTAAATGTCTGAATGAAGTTAAAGCGAAGAAGATAGAGGGAGGGTTAGAAGATGGCTTCTAGTTTGGAAGGGCCTCCCTCTCATGAGGCAGGGGAATGGCTTTCTCTTCTACCTCTTCAACATCTTGCTGTTGCAGTCTTCTGACTACTTCCTCTTGTTTCACATCCCTGACACTGTAAAGGGGTGTTGTGACTTCTAGAGTCCATAGCAAAACAAGTGGACCATGTCTAGGTCCAGCCTGCCTAGCCCAGGGTGCTGGAGGAGGGGCAGGCACCATACCTACCTCTGGCTCGGACTCTGGATTGCTCAGGGACAGCAGCTCCCAGAGGTCAGTTTCCTAGAAAGGCAAAGATGGAGTCCTTTAGAGTCTGTGGAGTCCTGAGCAAACTGGGGCTCCAGGAGACATGCACTGCCTATACACAAGTTAGCCTCACTCAGGAGGAGTCACGTGTCCGGCTGCTCAGGGCTATTTGTCTGGAAAGGTTAACTTTTCCGAATTTTCTCCTAACATTTTGTTGTAATTTTTTTGAGCCAGGGTCTTGTGTATCATGTATCAACCTTGCCTCAAACTCACTATGTAGCTGAACTCTTGATCCTCCTCGAAAGTGCTGGGATTATAGGTGTGCACAGTGCCTGGATGGAAGCCAGGGCTTCATGTACGTAGGCAAACTCTATCCACTGAACTGCACCTACAGCTTCTAACTATGAAAAAAGTCTATAAACACAGTGAAATGAAGAGAGTTTTATAGAGGACATTTCATGCTCGACAGATTCTTCCGTTAACAATTTCTGGCTATTGCTTTATCATATTCTTGCCCATCCATCTCTGCTCTACTGATTTTCAGGGAGGGGTTGGAAGTGAACCCAGGGCCTCACACATGCTAAAATTCAGGACTGTGTGGACAGAATGCTCCCCACTGTTTGTACTCTTCTGTGAGCAGAAAAAGCCCATCAGGATATACTTCAAGATGATAGTTACCTCTGAGCTCTAGTGGGTTGCTGCTGCTCCACTGTGTTTTGCAAATCACAAATCCTCATATAGAAGATTATGGAAATGTCTGAAGTAAAATTAACCCAATTTCTCTTTCCTTTCCTCTTTGACTCCTACTCTCAGAGGTAACTATCATCTTGAAGTATATCCTGATGGACTTTTTCTGCTCACAGAAGAGTATGAACAGTGGGGAGCATTCTGTCCACACAGTCCTGAATTTTGTTAGTGCCTCTCGATGCCAGGCCCTGTGGAACAACCCCGTTCTTACAAGGCAATGTACCTTAGTTCACACTGACCGTAGTCTGATTAAGTTTGCTGGTTGCTTAGTGATGGGCCGTGAATCAAATTTGATTTTTTTCACTGTGTAGCAAGTGACGCTATAAAGGACACCCTGCAGATATGTTCCTGCTCACCAGTGTAAGAATTTCTTCAGATGCAGGGTTCATTTGTAACCATACCAGAGCTGTCACACCTGTGTGGGAAGAGCAGCAGGGGACCAGAGACCTTACCTGTAGTTGACCACACACTTCTCCAGGCCGGGAACTCATTTGTGTAACTGTTTTAAACAACCTCCTTTGTGTGATGTAAAGTTTCTGGATGTGGCATGTTCCACTTGTGGTGTCGTGTGGGCACTCAAAAATTTCCAGATTTTGGAGCCTTTTGGAGATCAGATCTGAATTTTGGTTGCTCAGCCTACATATACATACATATATACTTATATGCATACACATTTTGCATACATATGTGATATTATATAAGTACACCCATATGAACTTTGCATATATAATTTTATATTCATATGTAATATATATATATATATAATTAAAATGAGATTAGTGTTTTGAAAGAGTAAAAGGGGGAAGTAATGGGAGAGAGAGAGAAAGAGAGAGGGAGAGAAGGAGAGAGAGGGAGAGAAAGAAGAAGAGAGAGGGAGAGGGAGAGAAGGAGAGAGAGGGAGAGAAAGAAGAAGAGAAAGGGAGAGAGAGAAAAAAGAAAAGGAGAGAGCACCTTCTTAGATCTTTGGATGCTGCAGTCTTGAAGGGGCTGTGTGAGGAGATGACATTCATACTGAGACTACCAGTGAAGAGAAGAATGTTCCAGGAAGAGAGACCAGTATGTTAAAACACTCAGCTGGGAACCAGTGCAGCCCATGTGGCTAGAACGCAGGGAATAAAGAGACCGAGCTGGACAGAGACCAGAGATCTAACTTCCCAGGCCCACAGGCAGGAGCCTGGCTTTTACTCTGAAAATACTGAGAAGCTGCTGTGGAGCACAGCGGCCTTGCTTATTGCTCCCATCAGCCCTGGGAAGCTTTCGTTCCCCAGGTGTTTCTGTGTGTGCCTCCTCACCACTGCAGGGGTCACCTTCAGGTATGCCTTCCCTAGCAGCAATATCCAGGTGTCCAGCAACATCCGGGACTGCTTTAAGCAAAGCCGCCTAGTTATTTATGGTAAGAATGTAGTGTTAGAACCCAGCCTTTGCCCAGGCCGCACACAATATTGACAGGGCTTCCTCTCACAGACACTGGCAGGCACCTACTGAGACACTGTCTGTGAGTCCTTAGCCAACAGATCAGACTCTCCCAGAATCAGACCCTCTCATTTGGGAAGTGAGAAGTTACTGGTGGCCTCACACCCGACTCTCCACTCCTTCCCTGCCTCCTGCTTGCTGTAAAACCTCCCCATCCTCAGAAAGATATGACAACATAGCCCACCTCTTCCAGAAAGGTGCTGAGCCCTTTTTCAGGAATCTGCCAGGTTGTTGCCCATTGTCTGTCTGTCTGTCTATCTGTGGTGTTAATAACTCTTCTAATAAACTCTATACTCCCCAGTAATCCATCTCAGTATCCCTCTTGAACACCCATCCCCAAACCTATCATTTTCTTGCTTAGTTTTCTATCCCCTTATGGAAATTTGATCTCTTCATGGTAGGGACCCTGTGTGCACCACAAATTAAGAGCCGGTCAGGTTAGGCTGGTCAAGTCCAGAGTAGGGAAGTGACTTTGGCTCTGGGGCCTTGGTTTTTTCATGTAAGAAACGGCAGGAACATTCTGTCCTTCCCCACTGTCCATCTCCTAGCACTCACTGAGGGGTCCTGGGGCTCCACGAAGATCTCCTGGATGGTGTAGAGACAGGACAGGATGTCATTGTAGATTTCTAGCCAAAAGGCAAGGTCTGCCATGCTGTTCTCAGTTAATCCTGGGAGAGGCGGGGGAACCACATGCTCTGGCCTTGGGGCCCGCTGGTGTGGGCCACAGGGAGTCACAAGCTTCAGAGAGATGATGAAAGAAAGACATTCAGTGGGAACAGCTAGCTCCCCTGGTGGACACCTGGTCACAGCTCACCACACTGACCACAGCAGCTGCAGTTTTGTTTGAATCTACCAACAGCGTCACCAGAAGGGAGCCATCATGGTCACTATCTGACCACTATCTGAGGCCCAGAGAGGTGGTGCCACTCATTCAAATCCCACATGAGAGGAGAGGTAGAGCTGAACCCTGGAGCCTGGCTTTTTTGCCCCCATCAAGCTCCACTCCATTCTCTGAACGCTGCCCCTCTTGGACCTTCTTGTCCTTCCTACCTTCCATTACAGAGACATCAAGGAGCAGTGGACAGGAGCTGGGCAGTCTTCAGCCATTCTCTGTCCTCAGTTTCCCCATCTGGGAGTTGACTCCACTGCTCTCCCATTGGGTCTTGACTCACTTGCTGGCCTCCCCACTCTTTCCTCTTTCTCCAACCATTCCCTTTTCTCAAACCTCTCTTGCCTGTCTTCCTCTTGCCCCTTTGCTCCACCCTGGGAAGCCCTGTTTCTCCTTTTCCTTGCCTGTTCTCTCCCAGCAGGTTCCCTAAGGGCCCATGGCAGCCTAGGGTTGCTCACCTGCAGTCTCATCAGGATGGCTTCTTCTGTGAGCTCTGTGCTGGCCAAATAGTACTGGAAATCATTAGGACCCGAGACGATAGGAGCTATGGTGCAGAAACGAAACCCAACTCAGCCAGAGGCAGAGGTGGGAAGGATGCTGTGGTAGGCAGAGAGAAATCCCTTCTCCTCTGCTCAGCTTTAAGTTCCTTGCTGGCTGATCATGAGCCTCTTGGAACAAGGAACATTTGTTGCATGATGGCTTTGTGCCTGGCTGTTGGCATTGTTCTAACAGCCCTTATCTGTGGGCCTTCCATTGATTCTGCTTAGCAGATAGGAAAACTGAGGCTCACAGAGGACGTGACATATGAAGCTTACAAACTATATTGCTCCTCTTTTTCCCCATGAGGAAGTATCCCTCCCGTGGGCAGGACTGTCCTGTCTCTGGGCATTTGCTATAGACAGTGCCTGGAGCATGGCAAGGGACAGCTGGCCAGCAGCAACGTACGGAGAGTGATGTGTAGCAGGTCCTCCAGCAGGAAGTTGAGCAGGTCTGTACTCGCAGGACACACCTAGAGGGAAGGGAAGAGGGGTTCCTGCTGGCCCGAGGCCGAGGTGGAGGGGCTGGGGAACCCATTCCTTCTCCTGGTGACTCACTATCTTCTGGAGGAGGAAAGGCAGTGATTTCTCCACGGTTTCAGTCACCAGTTTCAGCAGTTGGTTTGGCAACTGGGAGTCTTTTCTAGGGGAGGGATGACAGGTAGGGTTAGCCATGTACCAAAGGCATGGGCGGGAAAGGGAAAGCTGCACACTGCTGAGGAAAGAAAACTCCTTTAGGCAGGCCAGCAGGAAGGTCCACGGGGGTACCTGCTCCTTCCCTGGCACCCCCACCTCCTCTCCTTTCTCTTCCTCCTGTCTTCCCCCATCCATGTGCATTCTCTCTGATTTTCTGCAACATCTCCTGATTTGTAGTCTCTCTTTCATAAAAGCCTTTGGAATTTTCAAGCAGGAAGTGGTTCCAGTGTCAGTGGAGAGATCATGTCCGGCTTTCTGGAGGTTTTGTGTTGTATAGACAGAAGAAGGATCCGTCCCCTTAGTAACTGTAGCTGACCAGGACCCCCTGTTGGGGAGCAACTAAGAAGTGGTTGAGTAGTAACCACGACCTTCAGTGTGGAGGCAGGGGAGGCTGACAGGTGGCATGTACAGGCTGTGGCTTTGAAGGAGAGGTGGTGCCGGCCCTGGATTTCAGAGAAAGACCACTGCAGAAAGGGCCAGCCAATTCAGGAAGAGCCACCATCTGCCGTGCTCAAGGGAGGCTCAGAAGGCACTCACCGGTTCAGGACCTTAATGTGCAGGCTCCCAGGCGGTGTGTGGCACTCCTCGAAAGCCACCTGGGTCTTGTTCCCTATCTGTTCTAGCCGTACTCCAATGCGTATGTTCTTGATGGCTTCTAGCCACAGGATCCTGTAGGGACAGTATGTCTGGGCAGGCTCTACAGAGTCCAAGGTTGAGACCAGAAGTCACAAACTGGTTGTTTGTTGCTGTTGCCAGCAGGCTCACATTAGAAACTAGGAGTGTTCTATGAAATACAGAATCTGCTGACTGACTGGGCAGCCCAGGCCAGGGTCCCCACAGGGCAGCGGACACTTGCACCGAGTGTGGCCTTGAATGGGGCACATGCTCTCCCAACTGGGTCATGAGTCTTACTATTACCACACTATCCCAACCAAGGCAATGCTATGTTCTTTAGGGAACAGAGACACATTCTCAGGGCCCCTTGACTCTATCATAGTGTCTCCTTAGGCTTAGAGCTCTCATTCAAGCGCTAAGGGGTCTTCTTAGCTTCTGACATCGGATGAGATCAGCTGCATTCCAGGTGCAGTGGTCATAGAACATTCCGTTAAGTGATAAGTTACACCAAAAAGTCCTATTAACAAGAAAGGCAGGAGCTGGCATTTTCTCAAAGGGCATGTGACCCTCCCTACCTCACAAGCCAACATGGGTCTGTGTCACTGCCTCTGCCAGTGGCCACAGGTACAACACTCACAGTTCAGAAGTGTGCAGGTGGACACTTGGCCTACTGCAGTGGGGAACTGGAATTATGCCCCATTAGAGATTCATGCCCAGGAAATGGACACTCTTGCTTCAGTTGCTCAGTCCAGGAGTCCCAGACCCTTCCCAGACTGTCCCATTAGTGCCAGTGTGCCCACATGCACAAATGGCATAGGCGAGGACCCTCATTGCAGACTCACTGTGCAATCCTGGACAGGCCTCTCAACCCATTCTATGTCCCAGTTCCCCTGTAAGTCAGTCTTTGAAACATGCCCAAGTGGAGAGGGCTTGTGGTGTGGCCACTGTGTTAGTCTTCCTCCTGGCAGCCTGTGGGGAGGAAGTGCTATGGCTATGGGTACTTACTCCAGGAACGAGAGGTACAGTTTGCAGCGCAGTGTGACCTGCAGCAGGCTGTCACTTAGAACTTGCACGGTGACTTCCGGTCCCTTGGCATCTGTTATGACCAACCTATGGAAGATTTGGGAGTGATGGGTCTGGCTCCGTGAGTATCTGAAGTAGCTAGAGTGGGAGCTGACAGCAGGAGCAGTGGAGAGAGCTTTGGGGCAGCCCATCCTTGCTCACTGGACTGCCAGAGACCACAGAACTCTGTTTCCAGTCTCTATGCCTCGAGGACAGGCTATACCTTTATCTGGGTCAGCCTCTAACAAACCAGGGGCTGTATCTTAAGTCTGTGCACACATAACCACCTGAATCCAGGTGAAAGTCTTTGGGGCTGAGGCTGTGGCTCAGTGGAAGAAGTCTGGGGAATAAGGCCCTATGAGCTTTTCAAAAGAAAATCCAACAGGCAAGAGTGGGGAAGCAGGAGTCCTGGCAGACCCATGGTCTCTGCTGAGCACCCTCAAGCATTGTGCTCCCTTCTGAGGCCTCAGGTGTACCCCTCCCCGGACTCGGAGGGGTCAAGGTTGCACTGTGGAAGCCAGTGTCAGCTGCTGGTTCCCCTGGAGCCACTGGGGCTGGCAGCAGCATGTTCTGTCCCAGGGGAAACCAGGCCACCAGCTCGGAGTCTTCCAGAGGGGATTTCTTTTCCTGTTTGTTTCAAAACAGGGTCACATACAGCCTGAGCTAGTCTCCAACCTCCAATGTAGCTGAGGACAGAACTTTTGATCCTTTTCCGCAGCCTGGAGGGTATTTTTAGGATCAGACCATGTGGTGTTTTTCTTTGTCCCTCCCAAACCATGTCCTGGGAGAAGGTAGGCTTGTAGCCATGGCATGGTTACCCAGGTGGGGTGGGGGAAATCAGTGGACAGTGCCAACACTTGGCATGGCTGGGATGGTATTTGCCCATGCCGCCTCCCAAGCCTCCCTGGGCAGTGCCTCCCCCCACTATAGTTCCCTGACTTCGCACTCCATTTCACCCCCACCAGAAAAATCCCTTTCTGAGCTGGGAGTCTCAGGATCTATGGGTATTTCCTTGCTCATGTTGGGGAGGGACTCACACATTCCTGGCTGAGCCTTGTCACCTTGAGGGAAACCTGCCACCAACCAAAGCCAATACCATTCATTTAGGTGAGTTCTTATCTGCTAGCAGGCTCCAACCCAGGGCTCTCAGGGCTGGACAGACAGCATGGTAGGGCATCTGGGAACTGGCTAAGGGACTATAGACCTGACACCAATGCTTGTCATGTGAGAGGTTGGGACAGGTGTGGCCATATTTTCATGGGTTGCATTGTATTCCTGCCTCCAAGTTCAAACTGAAGCCATTCCTGGCCCCCAGAACCCCAGACCTTATTTAGAAAGACACTGGCTGCCGACATGATTAATAAGGGTGAAGTCACACTAGAGTAGCCTAGACTATAAGCCAACATGGCTGTATCCTTAAAGGAAGGGAATTTGGACCAAGGAGGATGTGAGCTGGCATTATCAAGAGTCTGGTATCAGCACCAGTGATTGTTAGTGGATGCCAGGAGCAAGCGCTTAGCCATGCTTCCAGGAAGTAGCTGCAGACTGCTGCCCTAGTCTCCCTCTTCCACAGGGCTTTGGACACTTTAGAGTGGCAAAGTTACAGAGTTGGGAAGCCTGGAAAACTCACATCCTTCAGATGCAGGTGACCGACCGAAACTCTTTTGGAAACACTTCAGATTTGTAAAGTGTAAGAGCAGGGGGCCACAGAGGGTGCTGTACTGCTAGCCTGCTTCGGTATAGACCCTGCTTCCTTTCTGGAGAGATTTGGAGAGGTCTGGAAAGATAGCCACACAGGAGGACACCTGCTCCATACATCTGAGCTGGGGAGAACTGTGGACCCTAAGTTGCTTGCCCACCTCTGCTCTACTTGACAGGGAAAGGCCTCCTGAGGGAGAAGGGAGGCAGAGGCTACATTGCCGGCCACTCACCCGGCTGTTTGCAGTAGCTTCTTCAGCTCAGGCACAGTCTTCCCAGAGAGCAGGTCCCCCACGAGTGACAGGTCCAGCCCACTCTTCTTTTTGACAAAATCATTTTTGACGAAGGGCAGGTTGTCCAGGACAGACACCGCCTCATTTGGGGATCCAGCCACAGTCATCATGATCATACGCGTAATGACCCCATGCTGTGAGAACAGATCTGAAATGTCTGGGGACAGAGCATCTCCTCAGGGTTCGGCCAGCCAAGCAGCAGATACCCACTGGCACCTATATTCAGCCAGCAGACAAGATAGCTCTTCAGTCGTTGTGAGGAGACCAGAGCTCAGGTATTGCCCAGATTGGTTCTGAACTCCTGGGCTCAAGCCATTCTCCTGGCTCAGCCTCACCTTGCCACCGAGCTCAGCTGGCAAGTCTTAGTTTTCTGGGCTCAGGGAACAGTGTGGCTCCTGCTGCCCCGGAGTTGACATGGTAGTCAGGGAAAAAGACAAACTAGTACTCAGATCAGCAAGTAAAGTAAGTTTTGGAAGTGTGACAGAGAAAATGAAACAGGTGAAAATGAAGTGTGACTCCGGTGAGGAGGGTCTGCTCCAGACATGAAGGTCAGGGAGGTCTCCTCTGAGGAGGAGGCATGGGGCAGATATCCCAAGGAAGTGAAAGAATTCATTGTGGAAGGGTCCGGGAAGAGCAACAGCATATGCCAAGGCCTTGAGGTTATGAGTATGGTGAATTTGCAAAACAGATCCTTGAGCTAGGACAATAAGCACCTCATAGAGAAGAGGCAGAGAGAACAGCACACAGACAGACAGACAGGTTAGCACGTGCTGTGTCTGGACAAGGCCATTGAAGAGGTTTCATCAGAGGTCTGTGGGAGAAAGGAGAGACCTGACCGCTACTGGGAGATCAGAAGAGGAGAGGAGGCAAGGACTTTGTCTTCCAGGCTGTCAGAGTACACTACATCGAGAAGGAGAGAAGTAGGGGAAGGGCCCACACCAGCCAAAGAAGCAGCCATGACCTCTATGTGGTGGGCAGGGAAGGTGGTGGGGAAGGCCCTAGAGGTATATGGATTTGAATGTTAGGGTGAGGCCTGCTCATGGCAAGTGGGAGGCACAGCAGGCATTAGAGCAGAGGAGGAGCAAGGGCAACCGTGGATGGTTGGTAAGTGGGAGGCCAGAGGAGAGGAAGCCCAGGGCTGTCCACTACTCTGCTTTCTTAGAGGTCATGCTTCTCCAAGCTCGTTCCTTGAGATTCACCTGATTCAAGCTGGTCCATGTTAATACAGAGGAAGAGAGGACCATGGGTCATCCCTCGGGCTTGGGGCAGTTGCCCCCAGCATACCAGCAGTGCCCACAGCAGCAGCATTCTCCCGTTCAGAACCTGTGACCATGAAAGCGAGAGTTATGTCCTCTCCAAGACCTGTAGAAGACATAAACTGTGTTTCCGCTCTGCACCCCCTGGAGCCAACTTTTCCTGTCCTGACAGTGCTGCTCTGGACCTGACTCACTCATGGTGACACCATAAGTGGCAGCACTTGGATCTGACCCCAGCATGACTGGGAGCTAAGAACCTCTCCTCTTCTATTTCACCACATGATGGCAGGGGCACAGCCAACATCTGTAGCAAACACATGCAGGTGCTGTCTTCCTTATCCTTACCACTCCCCGAATGGGACCTTCTGGATCTCTCAGGCCTGTGTCACCAGCTTTCTTATGAGGACCACTCTTATATGCCCAGCTCTGAAGCAACGGGTGGGCACGTGATGGGAAGGGAAGGCCCCTGGCCAGGGCTTGGCACACTCAGGAGTTCTTCAGTGAAAGAGTCACTTTTCTTGGCACTGAGCAGCCAGAGGCTTTTGGCCAAAGGTGATAGAGCCTGGGACTGAGGTCGGGGTGGGAATGCTGCACGCTCCGAATGCAGAGTGAGCTCAAGGAGGAAGTGGGCTGGGCCTGAGCCCTTTCCCTCTGTCACATCTCCAGCTTTTAGGAGGGGTATGGAGGCTGCTAATGCAGGATGTGAGTGGCATGGAGCCCAAGGGGGTGAGGATGTGATATGATGTTTTTGTGTGTGTATGTGTGGGTGAAGGGCAAAGCTGAAACTGGCAGTGTCTGTGGCCACCTTGTCACTACTATTCCCATGTCACCTAGGCTTTCACCTCATTTCTGCCCAGACGTGGTCACCAACGTTGCAGACAGGTCCTGGAACAGTCGCCAGCCATGTTCATTTCCTTCTACGCCTCATTCAGAATATGATAAACCCACCTATGGCTCTGGGGAGATGGTGAAAGTCACTATGGCAACAACTGGGCAGATGTGAGCACAGGGCCTGGTGCACAGCAAGGATTAACAAGCCATTATGATCATTTGCACTCAATATATAAGCGAGCCAAGACACAGAGGGGTAAGAACCTCCATCAGGGTCATGCCCAGGGGAAGCTGGGGTTTGATGCCAGGGTCCAGAAAGGGCACTGAGATTTGGTGGTTCTGCCACAGCAATTCTAGCCCTGAGCTCTCTGCCACCTACCTGTGCAGAGGCCCTGCTTTGTGGGGGCCCAGCACCCCTTGCTCCTGCTTACATCTGGCTATGTGAACACAGCTCCTTCATTATTGTACGGTGCAGCCACCCCGTGGCAGACAGGACTGCCTCCAGCTGGCTTGGGGTTTTCTACAGAATTTTCCCCTTTACAACTCGGCACAAGCAGGGCAGGTTTTAGCTCCATTTTTCTTTTCTTTCTTTATTTTTTAAACTTAGGTTTTTTGATTTTGTTTTGAGATTATGATATCATTACATCATTCCTCCCCTACCTTCCCCACCCTTTCCTCTATGAGTTTCAGTTTTCACCTGGAGATTTAGGGCTGGGAGCTGGTGGACGATGCAGTTCCAGGAAACAACAGATACCCAGGAAATACAAGGTTGACCTTAGCTCATCCTGAAGTACTCTTTTCAGCTAACAGCACATACTGGCAATGAATTTCAGTGGGATTTGGTGGAATATATTGGAGAAGACTAAGTTCTTTTTTTAAAAAAGATTTTTTTTTTTTTTATTTATGTGTGTGTGCCTACATCGAATCCAGGTCCCCCGGAAGGGCATTTGTGCTCTTCACCACTGACCCATGTCTCTGAGATGATGGAGCCCATGCTGATCTTCAACTAGCAACCCTCTTGTCTCAGCCTTCTGAGGGCCTATGATCGTAGACGGGTGTTGCTAAAGGACCATTTATAAGATATAACCTGGATTTTTCTCTTTGCTGTTTCTGAGACTCAGATTGAAGAGGAATTTTTGCTCTCTATTGAGGAAGGATACTGAGGCTCAGAGCCCTGCCTGTGGGATTTGGGAATTCTTAGCTTTAGGGCCTCCTGTCTATGGGTCAGAGAGGGCAGTTTCAGGGTCCTGTCAGATGCAGGCCAGCACAGAAACAATTCCCCGCTTCACCTCAGAAAGAATAGAACAGGAGAGGGTGGATGAGGAAGGAGCCTGGAGGAGCAGACAGTGACATGCTGCTGGGTGCTAACCAGTGGTGGTGGTGGCCTGCCACAGCCCCATTTTGTCACCAGTTTGGGTGAGGGTAGAGTGTGGCCATAGGCTATGGGGAAGGTAGGTGATTGGTCATCTCTAAGATCCCTCTGGTATAACCCACATGGAACAAATGATCTTGGCTTGGGGAGTCCCCAGAAGAAGGCTGATACCCAGCTTTGGACAGAATGTGTCTAGGAGATGGCTTGGAGGATGTGACCAGCTGCTGTGGGTGCCCAAGTTCCTTCCTATGGAGGCCTGGGAGCATAGGAGAGCTTGAGCCTCAGAGCCGTTTCTTTTCTGCTACCCTAGGAGGCCCCGGGGGATGATGGACCTGGGGAGCCTTGGTCATAGTCGGGGAAGAGTCTTCACGTTGGCCTCTCAAATCTGCTGATGACATGGGCCGGAAGAAACCTCCTTATGGGGTCCAGGTGGCACTACAGACCAGATGTCTGGCAGAGATGGTGCTCCGACGCTGAGTACTGTCCCTTCGCAGGCACTACCCCTGCCTTCCTGTAAGGGCTCTTGTGCAACTGAAGGCAGAGTGTGGAGCACGGTGCAGGCTTAAAGAACAGAGGCCAATTGTCTTGTCCCAGAACCTTGGGGCTTCTGGGAAGTCATGGAGACAAATGGCTGTCATGCGTGTCTGAGTAGGAAAGGCCTTGGTGATAAGGTATTCCCTGAGGTCAGGTAATAAGTGCCTGTGATGCCAAGTGCCATTGCCTGAGTGCCTACCAGGCATCTCATTTAATCTTCACCTCAGCTCTGTGAGGTGAGAATCATTCTCTCCACTTGACAGAGATGGGCATCAAGGATGACCTAAAGGAAGCCCTGTCCTGATTGTCTCCAGAACCACGGGGTCAGAGAGCATTGACCCACCCTGCCAACAAGATCAACCAAGTGGGTGTCCCCCCTCAAAAGGAGGTGACCCCAACCATGGCTGCTATCCTCCTGTCATCATGCAGTTTCCATATGACAAAGACTTGTTTAGGTTGGTTCAGAGGTGTCTGAAACCCCACCCACATGTCTCTGTCCATATCTCAGGCCTGCCAGAGTCAAAGTGACTCCCATGCTGGACAAAACCACCCTGACAACAGGAGCCACTGGCAAGTGTTTATTGATTGCAGGGAGATAGTTTACATAGCTGGCTTCCACACTCCCAGCTGGGGCCTGGCCTGCGCTGGCCAGCTACTCTTCAGGAGTTTATCAGGAGGGAGGAGAGCCAGGGTTCTAGGAGGAGGCTGGAGTGAACTTGAGGAAACCCTGGAAATGAAGAGGAGTCAAACTGGTTAGTTTTGTTTTTTGCTTTGGTTCAGTTTTTTATGTACTGCTTTGTGTGGTGTGTGGGGGGGGTCGAGGGGTTGCCCTGCTTTTTGTCTTCCATGAAGGAAGCACTGGCGATGGGAGAACAGTCATGGGTCTCCGAACACACTTGTGCAGAGTGTAAAACAGAGTCATAAATGGAGGGTTTGAGTGTGAACAGCAGTGTCTTCCAGCACTCGGTGGCTCTGGCAGACGTATTTGTGTGCAGTGGCTGGATTCTGTAAGACAGTCACCCCCAAGCCCACAGTGGGGCTCAAAGAATACTATAGATTCCCAGCTGTCTCCAGAGGGACCTGGACACTTGAGTTTTAAACAACTGTCTCTTTAAAAACAAATCAAAACAAAACTAAGTAAATGATAAGACTTGCTCTGATCTATGCCCCAAGGTCATGCTCTGATCTTTTCAGGGTTCCCAGCAAAGTACAAGTGAACTGTGAGCATAGTCCCTGTCGCCCGCGTTCTACCGTCTCCTCTCACATACTGGCTTTAACTCACATCTACTTTTTTTTTTCTTTTACTCTTCCCATTCATCTAAATGTGTGGTGTCACCCAACTATAGAATACAATCAATGCATTGCTGGCTACAGAGAAACCAACGGAGCAAAACAGGACATTTGGCAATAGGGGGAATATGGGTTTAAATCTGTGGATTTCTCCATAATTAAATGGCTCAGGAGCTCTGTGGTCCTAATGGGCAGCTTGGGGGCAGACTGGGACTTGAGAGAGTCATAGGTTTGTCCCAAAGTGCCTCTGCAGATCAGGGCTGGATGCCCCATCATAGATGGCTGGTAGACAACTTACCTGCTGGCTTTCTCGTCACTATGCGTCTACTTTAGTATCCCTCCCTTTAATGTCGACTGAAGTTCTAAGGAGCCAGAGGTTTCCTTCTGTTCTGTTCATTGTTGTAGCCAGTGTCTGCACACAGTAGGTGCTTAAGAAATGCCTACTAGCAAGCTGACCAAAATGGGCATCTCATTGACAGGCTCATGTAGAAGTTGGGGCTAAGGCAAGAGGTCATTGGGGTGTCAAGTGTAGATTTTGATTCTGCCATCAGTAGGCTGTGTGGCTTTGGAAAAGATCTTGCTGCCATCAAGTCTCAGTTTCCCCATCTTTAAAAGGTGATCACACCAGGATTCACCTCCTGAGCTAGGTGTGAAGCTGACAGCATTGTTGGTGCGACACATCACTTTTAAAGCCCTCACTGGGTGTGAGGAGCCTGGCACTGCTACAGCCCCTTCCTGAGAGGAGGCCAGGGCTGTTACTTGGTTCCAAACCTCTAGTGTGTGTCAGGCCTGTCACACTGGGGACAGCTGCATGGACAACTCAACAGCAATGCTGGTCTGCTCAGCCAAGGTCACTTCGCCACACTGGCGTGTGTGTAACCTGAGGTCCACAGTCCTTAGGTAATACCCCAAACCCTAGACCTCTCCCCACCTTTCCCAGAACAGTAAATATCTCAGCCTCAGGGCCTTTGGACCTGCTGGTCCTTTTGATATGACGCTTCTCCCTCTTTCCACAAAGCTCACCATCTCGCCCTCTCAGGTGCCAGAAAACATCACAATTTCAGAGAGGCCTTCCCTGTCCACCCATCAAAACCAGCATCCCCTTCCTACCACCACTTTCTCTTCTGAGCCTGCCTTCTTTTTCTTCCCAGCCCTTATTTACTTGGTGCTGTTTATTAATTTATATAGGTGTCTCTCTTGCTAGAATGCAGGCTCCCCCAGGGGAAGAGTGTTTTCTGTTTCTGTGGCCTGAAGCGCTGGGAGCCATGCCTGGCACATATCGCACCATCAAGAAATATTCCTGAGTAAGTGAGTGAAGGATGAATGATGACAAGTGGGGTAGAAAGGAGCAGGGACTTTTCACTTACAGCTGCCCACACCCCGACAAGTGGCCACAGGGCCGGGGTAGTGGCATGTAGGCCACCTCCAGCCCTGACAGCTTGCTTCTTCCCACATGCCTCTCACCTTGCTCACAGACCACTCAGCTTTCTCGTATCCCAAAGCCTTCAGCATTGATATGGGGACTCCAATTCTCAGTTTGCCTGAAATAACAAATGTGATCAGAGAGTGTGGGCCACTGTGGGCCTGGGTAGCAGTGGGCATGCTCGGAGTTCCTGGAAGCGAGCCTGTAATCTGGCACATAGGACCTGCCCGCTCTTCTCCTGCTTTCCTGTCCTCTATCCCAGCATTCACCTATCCCTGCCTGGCCTTCTGCACCACTTCTGGTTGTCCCACAATGCACCTCATATCCTCTAACACTCTTGCACAAGAATAGTCATGGCCCCATCACCCACTGCAAACATTTCTCTAGCCTGAGCTTCCATTGTAGTAAAGCAAAATTGAAAGGGTGGTGATGTCACAGAGTATCACTTCTCCCCGACCCTCCCACACATCCTCGCACCCCTGAGGAAAGTACTCTTATTATCCTTTTCACAGGTAGGGAACTTTGGCTCCCTAACAGGAGGATCGGGCAGCTTGTCCAAAGCCAGGCAGCCAGCAAGGGGGGTGAGGGACATGAGCTCAGTCTGCCTAAGGCCTCTTGAGTAAGCTCTGGCTGACTGTGGGCACCTGGTTCCAGTTGGCCTTATGAATCTGGTGTCTGCCAGCTTTTCCCTGCCTGCTTTAGACCTGACATTAATAAAGGACCAGCCTGGATGGGGACACAGGAGAGGTCTTTTCCAGCTGGTGACCAGGAAGGCTCCCGGAGCAGGAAGAGTTTGAACTAGGCTTAGAAGATGCGTGGGTCATGAATACAAGGGGCCCCAGCTGAAGGCAGGAGGTGCAGCAGCCTAAGAGAGGGTCTTGAGATGAGGGGCTCACCATTCTCATTGGTCAGCAGGGTGGATTCCAGGACCTTGATCAGGGTGTCCTTCATGACTTCAGGCTGTGAGGGAGAGGAAAGGTGTCACCAGGCTGCCTGCCAGGTCCTCTGGGCCACTCCAGGCTCCCTGACTTGTCCCTTATGACAAAGGCAGCCAGCAGACATCTTGAAATACCAGGTCTCCTGCCAGGGTAAGACCAGATAGGCTGGGGAGTGTCCTCACTGCTCTGGGGTGTGGCTCATTGAAAATGCCCTACACTCAAGGGCTTTTGATATGACACTTCCACAGAAGCACCCTGGGGGATTCTGCTTTTGAAGAGAAGCCAGATAGTCACAAACCTTCCAGTAAAATATTGTTTTTTTTTTTTTTTTTTCTAAACAAAAATTTTTAGAAACCAATGAAGGGCCAGGTGTGTTAACGAACACCTACAATCCTAGCAATCAGAAGGCAGAGGCAGGAGGGCTGTCACAAGTTTCAAGTCCAGCTTGATGTACATAGTGGGTTCCAGGCTAGCCCGAGCCAGAGCTATGAAGTGAGACCCTGTCTCAAACAAAAAACAAACAAACAAACCACAGACAAGCAGCAAACCCCACTTCCCATAACAACAATGATAACAACAACAACAACAAAACCAAAGGAAAACAAAACAAGACAAAACCCAAGAGGCAGTCAAGTTGAGCTCTCTGGTTCAGACTAGAGACTTGGGAAACTGAGGACCAGAGGAGAGGGGGTACTCAGGGTCAGTGGAGGGCTTTGTTTTATAATAGAGAGTGGGTGCAGATTTGCACATCGTTGGTGTTCTCAGTTATATCTGCATATAGTAGGTGCTCAGTAGAAACAGGATCCTGTAGGCTAGACTCTAGAGGGTAGTGAGGAGACCACCAGCCCACCCTAGGGCTTCCTGTCATCTCTTGCAAAGCAAATGCTGGTCAGCTTCTCATTTTAGAGTGGCCCATTCTAGCCCCAGTGCCCTTAGAGATAATCTGTTAATACTTACATCGAACAGTTTAATATCTGAGACCATCAGCTTGATGCGCTCAATACTGTAATAGAAGATGCCCATGAGAGAGGTCCCTTGGGGTCTCAGTCAATAACGGTTTGTTAATTGAGGACCTGCTATGAGCAAGGCACAGGCAAGCTCTCATGAGACAATGGTGAAGCAGGGAAAGTCCTTGCTTCATGGTGTTCATGTTCTGAAGCAGGTGGACACTGGCCCAAAAGACAGAAAACTACCCAGGAATAAGGGCGGGTTAGTGCACTAGTTAGCACAAGGCCTTTCGGAGGGGTGGCCCTAATTCCCATTCAACTACTTGTGTAGAAATGCCAGCCTGGGTTACAGGACTGTCTGATTTTTATATCTCTGCTATCTATGCCTGTCCATCATCATCATCATCTATCATCTATCTTTATCTACTTATCATTATCATCTATATATCTATCATTATCTATCATCTATCAATCTATCTATCTATCTATCTCTCTGTCTATCTATGTATCTATCTATGTATCTACCTACCATTTATTTATCTATCTAACTTACTGTCTATCATCTATCTATTTTCTACCATCTATCTAATTATCTATCTTATCTGTCTGTCTATGTATCTATCTATCATCTATTTACCTACCTCTGTCTCTCTTTTATCATCTCCTACCTAGCTATAATCTCACTCTGTATGGGCTAATTAAAACGCTCCCCTGAGCCTAACTGTATCGCTGGAGCCTCTAGCTGGAGTCCCTGGACTCAGTCTGGGACAGAAGGTGGTAGACCTTGCAGGGCTAGTGGGGCCACTGAGGCCACTTTGGTGCTGGGTCCCAATAGTTCACTATTTGGGGCTGTTTCGAAAATTTTCAGAATGGGCTGTCTCTCAAGCCTGGGGTGGTGCTTGGCAGGCGAGCCCAGTGGTGGGGTTGGCTTGCTCTGTGTCTCCTGTAGAGTCCCTTCATTTTCCTTTTGGAATTCAGCCCTTAAGGCAGATCAGGCCTGGCAATTAGCTCTCTCTGTTATTAGCTCTCGCTCTCTCTGGTGCCCCCTGGTGGTAAATTCGAGAAACTGAGTGCTGGGCTGGCACTCAGCAGTACTTCAAACATTTACCTGATATTATTGAAGTTGAGCCTAAGCCGGTTACCTTCCATGAAAAACAGAACTTCATAACTGGCTTCCTGCAACGAGAAACCCCAGGCCCCAGTTTTTGAAGGGAGTGCCTATCTCTAGAGGGAAGATTATACGGGAAAGTTTTGCTGTCAAGGTAATCTTGGCTACTGGCTCCGTGATCTTGGGAAAAAGTTTGACCTCTCTGGGCCTCATTTCCCATGCCCTAACCCCTGTTTCACAGGTGACAGTTTAGGCCTGGAGAATGACACTGCCAACACAGCCAATATTTACTGGTGGCTCACGGTTCAAGCTCACTGGAACCGTGCCAGGCAGTTCAAGTGTTTTCTTCAATGAACCATCCCCCTTGAGGGGATCCTGTCAGCCCTTTGGAGCACGGGGAGGAGACAGAGGAGGTCAGCAGCTCCAGTAGGGCCTAAGCACTGTTAGTGTGATTGCAAAGCTCAGAGGCTAACTCGGGCCTGATATCCAGGGCTCTAGACTTGCATCAGCTTGACCCCGAGGGCCGAGTGCTGGACTCCATTATAGTGTACCCTAGAGAACCAATTTTCCCTGTGGGAGGGGTCATCAGGGAGTGAGGCTGGTGTGGGAAGTGGGTTCCCACTGTCTGTCAGTGCGAGGCCAGAGCATCAAGATGGACTCTCTGGGAAGCACCGGTAACTCTATAGTCCGTGAAAGACACCCCTGAAATTGTGGGGTGTAGAGCTGCACGTAGGGACCCTGTTGTAAGGAGAAGTCAGCTCCTCCTACATACAGCAGGTACCGCGTGCTGTCTCTGGGTAAGCCTGGCAGGCTTCCCTACCGAGAGCCCGTCCATGAGCCCGCACTTCTCCAGTCTTCTCTGCTCTCTGGAGTGCATATGGTTGCTCCTCTACTCTGCCCACACCCGGGGGTGGGGTGTCCCTGTCTCTCAGCTGCTGGATGTTGCCTGTTCTCTGGAAAATGCCCAGAATGGACTGTAGCTGCCTTGATGGGAGTTATGGTCCCTCTATCCCTAGGGGCTGCCAGCGGTTAGTGACTGGCTGATGCCCCCCCCCCAAAGTTCTTAACTCTTGGTTCATCACTCCCTCTCCTCTTCCAGCTACCGGGAGATACCCCAGTCCATAACACTGAACAGGGAGACCCCAGCCTTCGTCCCCTACCACAGACTCTTGAACTCACAATGCCAAGGGTAAAGAAGGGCCGGACATCTGTATTGGTGGGGAACACTTCCAGGACAACATTTTGGGCTGCCGTGGCACCACCCTCGTCCAGCACAATCTGGGGGCTGGTACGAGTGAAGATCTTCAGCATCTGCGTGGGCCCCAGCTTGTCTGCTGCCTGGAAAGACATCAGACCCACACACGTGGTCACGGTGCACAGGCCCTTCTGACCCCTGTGGTGTTTCTCTGTGCCCCAGCTCTGTCCTTCCCAGCGCCACCTCCCTTCAGAGACTCGCTCTGGTTTCCTAGCCTGCAGCAGGGGCTTAGCACTGCTTTCATCACCCAGGGCCAGTCCATCGTCACTGCACTTGCAATGGGCTGTCACCCAGGTCATCATCAGTTTCAAGCTTCTCTACTAGACTGAAGAAGTCACTGGGCATCCAGGGGGCCTGGTACCCCTGGTGGGAAAGAAGAGAGCCCACATCTCTTCTCCACTGCAGAGACCCATGGGCTGAGTCAGCAAGCACCCAGCAAGCTACAGGTGGCCAACAGACCCACCTCTGCGTTGATCTCCTTGATGTTCATCTGTAGCTGGCGGGCCACATCAGGGATCTGGAGAGAGGGAGAGAGGAAGAGAGGGAGAGAGGGAGGAAAGGAGAGAGGGAGAGAAGGAAAGAAAGGGAGAGAGAGGGAGAGAGGGAGAGAAGGAAAGAGAGGGAGAGACAGGGAGACAGGGAGAGGACTCTAGAGAGTCAGTTGTATTAATCACGCTGTAGTAATAGGATCAGAGCATATGTTGACATCTAGGCTCAGGAGAAATTTGGACCCCAATCAGTTAGTGATGCCATTGGGGGTGCAGGCACCACCCCTGGGTTCCTCAGTATCCAGAAGGCCCTTGAGCTCCCCCAGGATATTTAGAGGAGGAAACAAGTATATCTGGTCCCCGAAGGCAGAAATAGGGCCCAGGTTGGCTGTTAAGGGAATCTTTGGCGCCTAGCATTGAGTAGCAGAATCAGGATCTCTCTGAAAGGAGGGCAGAGCGGACCACCACTGGCAGTTCCTACCTCAGCTCTCCTTTCAGCGGGCAGATGCTGTGGAGGTGAGTCACCCTCTGCCCACAGTGGGGCTTACCACGAATTTGAGCAGGATCACAAGCTCCTCCTTGGGGACCATGGTGGTCACAATGGCATTCACCAGGTCCTGCCTTACGACCAGGCTGAAAGGTAGGCCATCTGGGGTGGTCTCCATCAGGGAAGCCACAGAGCTGTTGAACCAGTTGGTCACCCTAGCCTTTGAGTCCAGAAGCTTGGCCTGAGGAGACACAGAGCAGGGGATGTTTTGAGGACTTCGACACTCCACTGTGTCCCATAACTGCCTGGAAGGGAACAACTGTGCTGAGCGGGGTTGGGGGATGGCAGGGGGTTAGGGAGATGGTGGAGGATGGTGGGGTTAGGTGTCTCCCAAAATTTCCGTGATGGAAGAAACCTCATCCCAGTGCAACAAGGTCTCAACCTCTCAAGGTGGATCCTTCAGGAAGTGACTGGGCCTTGATCAGTGGTTAGCGCTGTTACAGGAGTAGCCTCGATACTGTAGGTGGGAGGGGGCCATTGTGAAAATAAACTCAATCCTGGCTGCCCTTGCTCTCCCCCTCTCCCACAGGTACTGTGCTTTGGCAACACAAAATAGATTAAGACAGACACCGTTCTGTCTGCTTCCCATCTTTGTATTTGTGTCAGGAAGCTTTGATTGATGAATGCAGTGGCTTTATCAGTACCTGGCAGCCTCCCTCTAGAGTGTCTTAGATTACCTCTACCCTTCCTCCCTCCCTCGCTTCCCCTTCCCTCCCTTTGGTTACAAGCTAGGCCTGGGTAGCATGCACCCACAATCCCAGGTGCTCTGGAGATGGAACAGGGGATCATTTGAGCTGAGCTGGGCCAGTCTGGGCAGCATAGGAAACACCATCTCATTAAATGTGAAGCAGAAAGACAGAAGGAAGGATGGAAACAAACAAACAAACAAAAAAACTTGCCCAGAGCTACACAGCTAGTCATGGATCCTGGAAAGTTACCCGTATGATTCTTGAGGCTGCCTCTGTCCTGAGTTCATGTTGCAATGCCATTAGAAGTTTGAGTTTTGACAGGAGCTTACTTGAGAGAAATACCTAGGCACCCAGGCACACACAGGGTCAAGGGCCAAGGCCAGGACCCCAGGGAGAGATGAAGTTCTACCTGCTGTATATCACAGGATGCTTAGCATATGACATCATCAGCCATGTGCCCTGATGGTGTGTAGGTTTTGGGCCCTGTGTGGTCACAGAAGAAGAGAAGCTGTTCTCTAATGTCCCCAGTTTGCTCTGAGGTCTGGAACTCACCTTCAGGTTGAGCCGAATATTACTGTCTTGGATAGCAGAAGACAGAAGGCTAAGTTCCAAGGCTCCGGGGCTGAGGGGAGTGGGTGCTGCTCAGGGCAAGAAGAAAGTCTGTGAGGGTGGAGGGTGGGGTTGGGTGGGGTAGTTCTCTACTGCTACCAGCTAGGGACCTGCTACAATCGGGAAAATGATGCTGTTGGCAGTGACCACGGCGGTCATTACACGGACCACTCAAAATACCAGCACAGAACTAGACTTCTACGTGTCCAGCTGGAACACAGCCGTTCCTATGGCAAACCTGAAATGCTGTTTATAACCTGTGCCGCCTCCACCTCCCTCTAACCCATTCCCCAAGGCAGGTGGGGTCTGGGCATTGAACTCAGGTGTGCACCCATTAGTTCACCCATCGTCTGTGTTTGCCTTGGTTTTCCCAGCTTGATGGTGGTGGAAACACCCCATCTGCCCAGCTGTTGGGTGGGGAATGAGAGTGCGTGGGCCTGTCCCTGCTCTGCTTCAGTCTCTGTCATTGAGATCAGAGCAGCTGGATAGACAGACTGGGAACTCCCATGTAATTAGTATCTTCTAGCCTATGATCTCTCTCTTTTTCTCCCTCTCTCCCACCACACACCTGGGGTCAGGAAGATGAAGTTTTAGCCCTCCCTAACATGGATCTTCTCTGTGAGTTCAGAGTTGGCATATGCCACGCGCCTCAGGTTTCTCTTATGTGCAGTTGGGCCATTGAGGAAGTGAAATGGTGCCTATAAGATGCCCATCTCTGGATTTAGCCCTCATATGCCCCAGGGGTTTAGTGATTTATTCTATTAACCTTGTCTTGTTCTGGCTGCCCTTTGATGTGCCTCTTTAGATCCTAATCAGCACATGGTAGGGTTTCTTCCCCCTTGTTGAGCTCTACTCTGAGAGGGTTAAGCAGGACCGATTTCCAAGGTTGAGTGAAGAAGCCCATATCTTCTCTTTGCTACTTTCAGGGAGGAGAAATGACATCCATTCTGGGCACACCGCTCACCTCTGCTCTTGTTCCCTCCTCTCAGTATCACATAGTAGTCTACCATCCATCCATCCATCCATCCATCCATCCATCCCTCCATCCATCCATCATGCAATGCAATTATTTTAAAGCAACTCTGTGTCAGGCAGAGTATCTCTTATATGCCCAGAACTTTCCTGAAACCTTTAAGTGCTGACCACAATCCTTTGAGGTTGGGAGGTAGAAAGCCTCATTTTACGGATGAGGAAACTGAGGACAAGGAGGTAGAGTGACTCCCCCAAAGTCAAGCAGCAAGTCAGCAGCAGAGCTTGGCTTTAACCAGGCTCCACCTGGGTATCTAAGATGTACATAGAACAGTTGTTCTTGACCTGTGGGTCATGACCCCTTGGGGTCACTTGACATCATTGTAAAACACAGATATTTACATTACACTTCATAACAGTAACAGAATTACAGTTATGAAGTAGCAATTAGAATAACTTTAAGGTTAGGGGTCACCACAACACAAGGGGCTGTGGTAAAGGGGAGAAGCTTTAGGAAGGTTGAGAACCGTGTCTTGTGCACATTAGGTGCTCATGAATTTGGAGCTACAGTGTCTGGGCAGGGCTTAGCAGGTGCGGGTGTACCTGTGCCTGACAGAAGGTGCTGATCAGGCCTGAGGGGGGCGTGGCCTCTGCTGGGTAAAGGTGGGGCCTGGAGGCTGAACCTGCAGTCAAGGCAATGGAGACAACAGAGCCCTTACCTGTTGCCAGCTTCAGGAAGGATTCATACATGTCTTCGAAGGCTTGGTGGATCACAGGGCACAGCTGCAGTAGCAGAAATTCAGGGCCATCAGTGAACAGGCAGTCCCTTCCCCAGCTTCCTGGCCCTGGATTCCCACAACCCTGGTCTCACGGCTGTGCTCCACCTAGTCAAATGTTCATCTGTGGAGCTGAGGATTCACAGGTTTGTCTGCCTCTTCTTTGTCTGTTTCTTTGGCGAGTTTCTGGCCCCAACACATCCTCATGCCACCACGGAGTTCTCTGCCTAACATCAACAGTCGCTCTCGACACGGGCCCACTAGTTCTGATGTGGCAGAAGAGCCAGACTGAAGTCTAGTGGGCAGAGGCCAAGGGTGCTACCAAACGCTCCGCCCTTGTAGCCCAGCCACGTGACCTCGTCAGCAGCATGGATTTATTGGTTCTTCTGAAACGGGGTGGCGGGAATGCCAACATTTGCCTTGCTGTCTTCAGGACCCACAGACCTTTCAGCTAATGTTTAGCTGCTGTAATGGAAGGACTGGCTAGCTGGACACCCCCTCCCATATTCTTGTGTGAGGGCAGTGCGCTTTCTTGGGAGCAGTGGTTCCCTGCTTCCGTCGGCTTTTCTAACCCATGATCCAGAGATGGGGAGGAACAGGTGGAGAGAGGGGCAGCTCCCACATCCTCACACAATACCCCCTCCTTCGCCTCCTCCCACCCTGGCCACACATCGGAGTCTGGGACACAAGGATCCCACCAGACCCGCTGCTTCTGAATCTGGGGTTGGGTAAGACATTCACGTTTTCAGAGCTTCAGAGAGTCGTGCTGCACAGCCTGGACGAGAGCTCCTTTCTCTAATGCACTTGGTGCCTTCCTTTATATCCCGTGACTCTGACTGTGGCCACTACACCCTACCTTAAGTCACTCTGCAAATCCACAGCTTGGAATTAGTTCAGAATTCCAGGTTCATGCCATTTCTTCTGCTGGGAAATTTCTATTTTTTAATTAAAGTATGATTCTGGGTAAAATTTTGAAAATATTTGCATCTGGGCCCTACTCCAAGAAACTCTATATTTAAACAGAAAAATAAAGTTCTTAAATATATCTTCTGATCATATTGGCCTGTAATCTCCACCCTTGGAATATGGAGCCAGGAGGATCAGGAATTCAAGGCTAGCCTGGGCTACATGATACCCTCGCTCTCACACCCTCAACATTCTTATATAAACATAGAGAACAGGCTATGCCTTTTTCTAAAAAAAAAAAAAAAAAAAAAAATAGAATAAAAGAACTTGCATTCTCCTGTGCCAGACGGCCTAGGTCTGACAAATTGCTGCCATTGAAATCCCTGAGCCTGTGCATTTATTGTTACTCAGCAAATTCTGACATTGTGGAAAGACATGTATGTCTTTGTCTATTTTTCTAACACAGCATGCTCATGACAGTAAGAAAAGATCATTTAACAAAGCAATGTCTTTCCATGTCCCTTTAAAAACACCATTCTGGGTATGAACCTCAGCTAATGTTCAAAGGTTTAAAGTTCTACTAACAATAAACCATTGGCTTGACTATGTTACATATGTCTATTTATTTTCCCATTTCTTATCTTTCTCTGGACTTTCCCTTTTCCAAGAAGAACCAGGAAGCCTCCTTCCTTCCTTCCTTCCTTCCTTCTTCCCTCACTGATGATTGATCTCAGGCCTCACACATGCTCAGCAAGTGCTCTGCCACTGAGCTACATCTGCAGCCCTTTTGGCTTACTTTTTATTTTAGTGAAAGATCTTGCCAAGTTGCCCAGGCTAGCCTTGAACTTTCTCTTACTGCAGGCAAGCCTTAAACTGTGATCCTCCTCTCTTAGCCTACTAAAGAGCTGGAATTACAAGCCTACTCCAGACTACTCAATACTGTTTCTTAAATTAACTGTTGGGAGCGGTGCCTCTGGCAGCTGCTTTGATATTTAAATCTCAGCGGAGAGACTGCTTTTATGGGACCTTCTCTAAAGGCAGGGTAGAATTTGCAAGTCCATCTCCTTTTGTTTGTGACAGCAGGTAGGATAGCTTGTGAGGATCACACCTCTTCCTCAGGCTCCTCATGGAATTTAAACCATTGTTCTTAGATGTTTCTACTCTGGCTCAGAAACTCTACAATAAAATGACAGGCCGACAGTTACTGCAGAAGAAGGCTCCAAGAAGATGATGCTCTAAGCATCCTGTCTCAACTCTTGTGTAAACAGGACACAAATAAAGCAACTAGATACAATGTTGTGCAATGGGAGGAGCTAGAGAACAGGAAAGAGTGGGAGGAGAAGGGGCGAAAGCACGAGGAGAGCAGAGCTGGAGGAGAGAGCTTGGAGGACGTGGAGCACGAACCAGACCTAAGATTTCACAAAAAGCAAGTATAATGTGGGAAATCTAAATGTTAGGAAACAGAGGGCTGGAGGCAGAGGAGGAGGCAGAGACTTGAGACTTGCTGCTTGCACTGCTTGCTGCAGCAGCCTGCCTTTTGCTGTGGCTGTCGAGTCTGGACCTTTAAAAAAGTTTCCTGTGTGCTGTGTGTTTATTTTATTAATATTAATCCTCACTCCCGACTCAAGAACCATTGGACTCTGCTGGCTGGCTCCGGCAATTAACCCTATGAAATATAGGATTCAGGGGCTGGAGACATGGTTCAGCAGCTAGAGTGTAAATTACTCTTCCAGAGGACCCAAGTTAGATTCATGGCATCTACTCCAGGAAGCTCAAACCTGCCTGCAACCCCAGCTCCAGAGGTCAGACACTCCGGCCTCCATGGGCACCCACACGTGTAGAATATACTCCCTCCCTCACACACACCCATATACATAAGATTAAGAACAAACTACATCTTTACAACAAAATAAAATATCATTTGAGATTTCTTCTTCTTCTCTCCTCCCCCCCCCTTCGTGCATACTAAGCAAGTGCACTATCACTGAGGTACATCCTTAGCCCTTAGGTTTTTTGATAGTTTGAGACAGGGTTTCTTTGTATAGCCCTGGCTGTCCTGGAACTCCATCTGTAGACTAGGCTCACCTTGAACTCAAAGATCCACCTGTCTCTACCTCCCAAGTGTTGGGATTAAAGGTGTGAGCCACCACTGCCCTGGATAATGTATTTTAAATTAATGACAGAAATCAAAATGTGGGTGAATCCACTTACAACATTTCAGGTTACTTGTGGTATATTACGTGCATATAAAATGAGAGCCACCAGGGTGGCATGGGGCCTTCTGTTGTAGAAGGCTTGCTTAGCAGGTGTAAAACTCTGAGTAATATCCCAGCACCCCACCCCCACTCGCCACCGCTGAGCCCGAGTTTACTAACTCAGAAATAAACGTAGCTGGATCTGGTGGGCTGCAGCGCCTACAAACCACACCCGGACAGCTGAGCAGGGCCGTGCCGCAGCCTACTTATCACTGTATTTCAGGACAAAATGCTGGATGTTCAGGGATTTCTAGCTTGGTTTTAAAATTAAAAGATGCATACTTACATAAAGAAGCGTATTAAAATACACTTAGTAAAGACAGAGGCCCATCCCTTCCTAAGTATTTTGCGCTGCATCCACTACTGTCTTTGCTCTTGAGTTGCTGTCTATGTCTCTCTGGTGGCGAAACTACACGGGGACACACCGCTGTGCCCCTCCTCCCAGTTCTGCCTCATGACGTCACTCTAGTAGACTTAGGCCAGCCTGCCGGTGGGACTTATAACTGGGAAGTCAGCAAAAACTACACGTAGGGGTCCTTCCCCGCAACCCTTGAAGAGACAAGTGGTAAACTCTTCACCAGCCCACGACAGATTAAGGCCTCCTGAATTTTTGGCTGTTCTGTTACTGTGACCTTGGCGATCCCGCTGGGTCAGTGGCTCAATTCATTGGCTCACTGGTTCTTTGCTTTGCCGAAGGAAATTGCTCAGTCCCGGAAAGATCCCACCCAAGGAGACAAGACTCATTTGGCACCAGCTTGCAGTTCCATCTTAGTCCTACAGGGGGTGCCATCTCCACAGGCCAGAGGCCTGATTTTTTACTCACGTGGCTTTTCACTATTTGGGGCAGCGTTGGCAGCAGGAGATTCATGACATTATTTGCCAAGGAGTTCACCACGAAGGAGAGCCTTTGGCAGAGGAGAGTGGGAGATTAGGAAGAGAGGCTTGTCCCCGCTTTAGGGAGGTGATGGGATCCTGGGAGGAAGGAGCTCACTCAAGTTCACGGGGGTGTTAGCCGAGACTGTGGCTAAGGGAAGATGCCAGCCTGGCTATTGTCTTTATATATCTGTGCTGACATTAGGATGCTAAGAGCTGGCAGGTCCCCTGGGAGGTGACATTGCACTTTATGAGTGGGTCATTCTTGCTGCCTGGGAGATGTTCTTAGCAGCCTTGTCTGGACTAGGAAAGTGAGACATGGGAAGGCAACTTGTCCAACACCACCCAGACAGTCAAGGAAGAAGGGAAGCTTGCTTGGGCCCACCTAGGTCTGCTTGGGTGTTCTGGGAGCCCTCGATGGAGGTGCTGCTCTGTCTGCAGGTGTCTGCCCACCCCACCCCCTGTACCCACCCCTACACCCACTTCTGTGTTCACCCTTCAGCCCCGGTATCATGCCACCCTTGCTGTCTTCGTCTTTGTTACCCAGAACTGCCTTTGGCATCCAGATTCCCTGGAAGGAGCCCCAGATCTAGAGTCAGGAGGGGCACATGTCTGTCCTTCCAGTGCTGTTCTTGTGCAGTGGGCAAGGCCCCCCGCCTGCTTCTCCTACCAGCATATGGAGCCCAGTACTCACTTGCGAAGCAGGCTGAGGCTCAGGGTGCTCTCGCTGCTGGAGCAGTCACTGAGGTTCAGGTGGGCGGGGCCACTCTTGCTCTTCTCCACCCGGATGAGGGCTTGGATCTCAGTGTTCATTTGGAACTCCACTATGCTCTTGATCAGTGGCCTGTGGGGACAGCAGCAGTGAGTGCTCCCGAAGCCCGAGTGGGAGCCACAGCTGGGTGTCTGTCCCTCGCTGTCTTTTTGGCTGGTTCTCCTCATTGCCCCTTCCCCATGCCAACATCTGGAGTCCTGGTGTTCTCTCCTGATCGCACCCCTTGTGGATGCCGTGGGATCCCAAGGCACACACTGTGCCCCACTCAGGCATCCTCTGGGCTCATCAGGCGCGAGCAGTGCATCCCGCCTTGTCCCCTGGCTGGCCTCTTTCAAACCTTGTCGTCTTGGCTGCTGGCTGTTCCTCCCAGATTGATGTGGGAGCAGATCCTGAAGTCATCTCTCTCTCTCTCCCCCATATCCAATTCACCAGGAATCCCTGCCTTCATCCGACACATAACTAGAGTCTGTTCACTCCTCTGCTCACCTGTCCCAAATCTGGGCCTAAGCCCTCACGGTCTCCTCTAGAGTTGTTTCCGGTCCTTCTGTGTGGCATCCTGCCATCACTGCCCCACACTGTTTCCCCCTCAGCTCTTTCTCGGCCCAGACCTTCTGTTGCTCTTGGTACTCTCATACTCCATGAAAGCCAAGTTCTCATCTTGGCCCATAAGGCCCTGCACCGTCAGGCCTTAGCAGCTTCCTGACCTCACCTCTCCTCACCCTGCTCCTTCCCTTCTCTTTGTCTTTTTTTGAGCAAGGCAAGTACATTCCTGCCTCAGGGCCTTTGCGCTTGCTACTCTAACTTTGGGATTCATTTCTAGATATCTGTGTGGAAGGAGGAGAGCGAGTAGGTAAGACAGCTAGGTTAGCTGCATCTGATTCAGGGGATACTCACGTGTTTAATCCAGCCACCATGTCCAGGGGGATTCTGACCACCAGCTCCTGGTCATAGGTCGAAGGCTCCACGACCAGCTGGAGGATGTTAGCAGAGGTGACCTTCATCCTGGACAGGGTAAAAGGGAGATGCGGATCTCAGTCAGATGAGTGTTACGCCCAAGCCTGGTCCTGTCCTCTCTCCTGACTTCCTTGCAGCTGACAAGAACCTGGACCCCAAACCCACTTTACTTACCCTCTCCATCATGGTCCTACTTCTGTCTCGCCCCTACACCCTTGCTTGCCTCTCTGCAGGTTCCTTGGCTTTTAGCCTCAGCCTGTTGGGCTGACACTCAGCCCCTCTGTGACCTGACCTACTGTCCTGTCACTCTTTACTGTGAGGGTTTGAAATGCAATCATTCCGAGTGACTCTTGCCCCTCCATGGTTTGGCTCCACTGGTCCCTTTGCCTGGAATGTCAGTTTCTTGGTATCTCTGGATGAGCCATGACCTCCACTAGGGAGCGCCTCCTGGTCCTGTCACTCTCTCTTCCAGGGCCACCTTCCTACGGGGCTGCCCTCCTAGAGTACCAGTGACGCTGCCATATGGTCACCACTAGCCATTCTGGGGGCTTTTCCAAAGAGGAACTTAGTCTGGTCCATCTTCACTACTGTTTGCTGCCTGACAACTGAGCAAGCTGCGTACTTGGTTAGATGTGTGGGGAAAAGATGGCTCCCAGGGCTCTCGGGCCCACTCACCAAACGATGTATCTCAGAATCGTGCGCATTAGGCTTTCCAGCATGGGGATGTTCCCAGACCTGTCTCGCATGGCACTGAGCAGTGGCAACTGCTGGAGGATGGCAGTCGCATGGTGCTTCTCCAGTGCCTGGGCCAGGTCTGCAGACAGATCCAGGGGTTAGAGGTCAAGAGGAGGGGCAGGGAAAGTAGCCTGGCAGTGGCACCAGCTTGAGGATGGCCATCACTCTGGACTCCTTGGACCTGACATTAGGTGAGGGGTCCTCCTCTTCACCCCGATCATCTCCGCTGAGTCTGTGTGCTCTAGAGGGCATTGTCCCTGCGTGGGCTATTTTCTCGTGAGCAGTGAGGCTGGAGACAGTGGGAACCAGCACACTCAGATGTTGCCTGTCACTGCTGGGACTCTGTACTGTGTCCTCTCCCTAGCCAGTGCTAACAGCTTTTTGAGCTGAGCATCCCACTGGGGACAGTTTTGCCACCAACATACTGATCTTCTGGCACCCACACTGTTTGCCCTGTTGTCCAGCCCGCTTAGGTGTGGAGCAGAGGAAGGAAGAAATGGCAGTGGGAGCCCTGGGGCTGGCTGGCCCTTGCCAGCTTTTCCCCAGAGGCCAGAGCCATTTCGTAGGCAGTGTGCCGCAGCCGTGCCGGGCTCACTGTTTCAGAGTTCTCGTGGCATTCCTGTCAAGCGTTTGCCTCCTCTGTGCTAATGGGGCTGGACCCATTACAGTTTTCTTTGCCAGCTGGCATTCTTCAACCTTATCAGTATAGGCTTTCGAGGGATGAGGAGTGGCAAGTCCCTGAAGCGTGCCGCTTATCAGCCCCTGTGGCGTCACCGCCCAGGTGACATTGAGCTGCCAGTCAGCAGGGCTCCTGAAGGCTGAGAGTAAGTTCCGAGGGCCCCTGGCAAGCATCCCCGGGCCATCCAGAGATGGTCCCTTGGGAGATAAAGCACCTCCTCCCTGCAGGGACACCATCCGAAGGATGTCATCAGCTCAGGGCAGGCGTGGACTTGGCAGCTTCTGCTTGCCAGCAGCGGGTCAATGCTAGCCTAGCACGAACTTGCGGGCTTCCTTCCACCCAACAGTTAGCCACAGCCAGTCCCTGGAGGCCTGGGAAGGGGTCTCTGACTCTGGGTGTGTTCTGTCCCTGGGTGCCCTTTAGAGCGAGTCCTTTTTCCCCCTCTTAGCCACATCCTCCGTCCTCTGATGCCCCATTGTGGTCCTCTACATTCAGCAACACTCTCCAAGATTAGGGTTTGGATTTTGTCTTCTGACCGAGCTATCGGATACAGTTGCCTAGTGGTTCCTGGCCCTCAGTAGTCACCTACTTGGGTGGACCCACTGACTTTCCTGCAAGGGATCCTGGGAATCTCCTCCCAAACTACTGCTGGTAATAACTCCTTGGCTGCAGACTTCCACCATTGCTGCTCTCCCCAAGCTCAAATGCCACGTGCTTGGGAGCCACAGCTCGGGCCTCAGGCCATCTGCTTCCCCAGCCTTTGGAACAGTGCTTGTCCACTAGGTAATTGCGATATCTCCATAGAAGACGTGTCAATGCCTGGGTGGAAGGTGCCGCCAAGTGTCCTCCCACACATAGTACTGTGTCCCATGCCAGAGGAGAGCTGGGGAGAAGTCTACCTAGAGTTCCTATGACCCTCCTCAGTTCCTATAGTGTTGGGTGATCCTGTAGGCCCAGGAAGGAGGGTCTTCCCATGTGTTTCCAGAGGCCCAGAGCCTGGCCTAGAGCCATGGAGCTGGAGTAACAAACCCTTGTGTGGAACTGAGGCCACTAGACTCTGCCCAGTAGTGGTTTGTTTTTGAGTAATATCATTTGAGGGCATCTTGGCATCACGGGCTCTTGAGATCATAATATCCCAGATCTTCATACCCCAGTCACTGCTTGTCTCATGGAAGCCCTGGGCTCCATCCATGCCTGATACACTTCTCTGATGAGGAACTCTTTTCCTTTATTGGAGGACTGCTCCATCTGCCCCTTGCTCGATGGTGGTGAGACCTGAGTTGGGGGTGGGGTCATGACTTACGCTCCCTGATGACTTCTGGGCCGAGGTTGAGCACTGCAGGGGGCTGGGGGTCAGCTTGGACCAGTGTGGCTCCCAGCAAACCATAGAGGAGGGTGAAAATCCATGGGATGGCCATCTTCCTGGGTGTTGATGGGAAGCAGGCAGCCGGTAGCAGGGCCTGGGGTAAGCACAAAGGGTTCTGCTAGCTAGACAGAGGGGCCATGGGAGGCACGGAAAGCCTTGTGGCCTGGGGGACAGTGTCCAGGAGAGGCATTCAGGGCAGTGGTTGAGAGCCAAGGCTTAGTTGTACAGCCCTGAGGAATGAACGGAGGCACAAATACGTCTGTGCTTTAAAGTTCTCCTCTGGCAAGTGGGCATGATGGAGCTTTGCTTTACAGAGTCTCTGGGATTAACAGTATCTAGAAAATCGTTCAGCACGGTGTCTTTCCCACAGGAAGAACTTGGGAGACATTAGCAATTTCCTTACAGAAAACCCACTAGCAGAGGTCCAAACAGCCGTTTTGTCTTGCCTCCTCTCCTAGCCGTGGGTACTTCCTGGGAGAAGTGCTGTGGTGCTGGGGTGTCAGCCTCCACAGGGCAGAGGCAGCGCCTACTGCCACACTCAGTCCTCCGGCCCACAGTGCCCCCGTGGAGCTTCAGATCCCCACAGACTGTCTTGTTTGGAGAAAAGGGACTTGTGCCCTTGCCTGCCTCAGAATGTGACAGAGACAAATGTGACACTGGGTGATGTGTCTGCTGTGGGCTGCCATGAGACGCTGGAGTCAAATCAGAGCGGCTGTGAGTCTGGGAGGCGGGACCTTGTTGCCTGCCCCTGACTGTGTCCCTACACCCAGCACAGCTCCAGGCACACAGTGGGGCTTCCTGCATAACTGCTCAGTGACAAACTGGAGCCTGAGCCTTCTGGAGATCCCGGGAAGCCAGAGGATCCCCATGCCCCAGCGTCAGCAGCCTGAGGGAGAAGGGGACACATGGGCCTGGGAGTCAGATGGACTCCAGGATGGTCTTCTTTTAAGGCCGCCTCAGTAACTGGCGAGTGACTTGCCCCTTTGGAACCTCTTGAACGGCTGGCTGATGGGAGATGACGTTAGCATTCAGGAGGGTAGTCGGGAGGGTAAGTGCACCTGTGGCCTGGTGGTGCTCATGAATGCTATGGAGTGTGACAACGAGTGTGCTGCTCCCGGCATCAGAGGAAACCGTGCCACCATCAAAGCCGGAGGGCAGAGCTCACAGCCTGTGTCGGTTGACAAGGCAACCATACCCTCAAACCGTGTTTTTGTCTTCCGAACACTTTGGCGCCTGTCTGCCCAGTTCTCCTGCCCACTGCTCAGCCTCCTGATCAGAGGGGTTCTGAACCCTGTACCTGTAGCATTGTCTCTCCTGGGAGATACTCAGCCTGTCTTCATCCACCATTTGGTCCTCAGCTCTTGCCCTCATCATGCATGCCTTGTTCTTCTTCAGCACTCACTCAGCTTTGCATCCCACATGCCATTTCTTCCAGGAAGCCTTCCCTGACTCCCTCTCTGTGGTCCTGGGCCTTCCTTAAATACACTAAGCCTACAATGATCACCTGGGAGTTCTTTGAGGGCTGATGTGACCAATGCTTCTCTTTGTCCCCAGCAACAGCTCAGCACATGCAGGCGTTGCTCAGCCAGTGTATGCAGAGTGGGCTGAAGCTCCTGGACTGAGGACTGGGAAAGACTAACATGCCTTATGCCTCCGTCTTTGTTCATGGTGTTTGGATGAGAGCACCGGCACCTCTCTGCCTCTCCCTTTGGCCCCAGGAGCCACCGCTGTCAGGGGAATTATTAGGCTCAATTTCCCCTCAGCAGGTGGGCTGCCCTCAGCAGGTGTTCCTTGTGAATACCCTGCCCAGGCTTTTAGCCCCTCCCCACATTTTACCTGGATGTGCTGGAGTCCTGGTCTGCCTGCTCCTCTTCCGGGTGTTGGGTCCAGAGACCTAGTCTTATATCCTGCAATCCTGACTTGGGCAGCCACCCTAGCATGTGGGCCAAGATCTCGTACTGGGCCGAGGTCTCCAAGGTAAATATTTGTAGCTCTTAGTGAACCAAAGCCCTTCCTGGAAAGCAGTCTAAGAACTCCAGCTTCCTGAGGTTTGGAGAAAGGAAGGTCCACGCTGGCTGAAGGGGCAGAAGGAACTCTGGGGCGCATGTCAGGAAGGCGGCTCAGGCACACAGCAAGCCTTACAAGGGGCTCCCTGCATCCTGAGCAAGAAGGCAGTTCGGTTCAGCATGACTCAGTAGCTGGTGTTGGTTCAAACTTCTGGAGTCTGACCCTGAGTGGTTGATTTTAGGCATATTTAATTAAGCACAGCACAATTTGGTGAAAACTTTTTCTTGTGATTATTAACTCATTGTCGCAGTCACAGCAAAGCGTACATAACAAGTCTCTCTGAGAAACAAAGTAAGCTAAGTGACTACACGGACACGCTTGTAAAGTCTGTGAAGATGGGCTGAGAAAAACAATTTTACCGTAACGGTCTTGGGGAGGGCCTGGTGCTGGAAAAGTCTCCAGCCACAAGAAAGAGCAAGAGGTCACCAGGCTAGTAAACACGTCCTCTCCCAGCCTTTTGAGTGGGCAACGGGCTATGCATTCCTTCCCCTGAAGGGTCAACCTTGTGTGTAAACCTTGTGTGTTTAACATTCTTTGCTCCCCCAGTGCTTCTCCGTGGGCACAAAGATCTCCGTGCCTATACAGAACCACCACGGGCAGAGTAGCAGTCACGGTGAATGAACATCTCCAACATGGCACACGTCACCTCATGTTTCCATCAGTTAGGTTGGTGGGCATCATCCTCATGACCCCATGGCCAGCCAGTCATCCTGACAGCAGTGAGGTGGAGCCAGCCTCTACAGTCAGCAAACAGAAAAGCCAGGGATCTGGCTTCGAAAGCCATCTGGGGACATCTCCACAGCCAGGTAGACACACGTGTGTTAGGGGACAGAGCAGGTTCAAGTCTTGGCTTCACCTCTTTCACAGACAGACTTGGGACTCTGTTTTCATACGTGAAAGGGGCACACTCGAGCTCCTCTGTCTTAGGGGGTACATAATGGGGACACTGAGCCTACTCAGAGGACTGGTCAGTAGCAGTGCATTTGGGACTGTTGTCGTCATTCCTGCTTACAACAAAATGAGGCTTACAGAGAGGCGATTAGACGGGTTAGTCGGGGCAGCCTCCCGGAAAGGAGGGAGGCACGGCCTCGCCCTCTCCTGTGCAGCAAGGATTCCACTGATTCCTTTAAGAGAATGGGTTTGAATCCCGCCTCTGCCACGTCTCTTCTGTGCTTCCCTGGGCGAGGTGCTTCACTCCTCCATAACCTCCTTGGTACATGGTGGTGCTGTCCACCAGGCTGGTGAGAGTATCAGCTGAGGCGTGGGCCATACACCCTCGTCACAGGCTTTCTCTCGGCCATTTCGTGACCAGTGCACCCCTCTGCCTCATTCACACTGCTGGGAATGCAGTGAGTGTTTGTGGAGTGGAAGAATAATGAGCGATGGACCAAGGGACACCCCACCTGGACACAGGCTGATTTCACTTAGCCACACAGTGACAGAGGGGAATTAACAGCCCTGATTTTCCCAGGAGCACCGAAGGCTCCGTGATTTGCTCAAGGTCACAGAACCAGAGTGTCAGAGAGGGGACGTGAGCCCACTCGCCTAATGTCGGCCACACGCTCCAAACCACACTGTCCAGGTTACTCCTGGTTAATGTTAGGGTCAGCAGGGCTAACGATGTGATCTTTGGACCCACTTGGGCACATGTCTTGGCATCGATCTGAAAGTGGTAAACTATAGATTAAGGCTAGGGGATCCGTTGTAGAGTCTTGTTTTCCTTTGTAGTCTGACGAGAGAGGGGCATTGTCCCTGAGGTCACACAGTCCCTGGCTGGTCATGGAGGGAAGTGTGGTTTGCATCCTGCTGTGTCTGGAACATGCAATAGGTCCTGAGTATCCAAGGCAAGCTGTTCCAGAGCCAGGAGGGCTCCCTGGAAGGACCCTGCCAATGCCTTGGGCACATGTGCAGAGAAACACACTCCCCTGTTTGGTTCCTCAGCTTCCATGCCTGCTGCCCAGGGACAATGTCCCTCTGTGGGGTGGTGGAACTGGTGCCAAGGCCAATGCCCATATCTGTTTCAGCTTCCTGCTTCCTGCCTGTTGGCTCAGACTAGTCAGGGTTGAACAGGCATCACCAAACCTTGGGTTGTGTACCTGGTCCCTTGTGGCCCTGCCCTGCACCTCTTCCTCTGGTCTCGTCTCTCTCAGATCCTCACATCCTTGGTGCATTCCTTTCCCTGGACTCCTCACACCTTACACAAGATCTTTTGTGGGCCTGGGGAGATAACTCAGTGGTTAAGAGAACTGGCTGCTCTTACAGAGAACCTGGGTTTGATTCCCAGCATCCACATGGCAGTTACTGTTCGTAACTGCACTTTCGGAAGAGCCGACACCCTCTTCTGGCCTTTCTGTACATGCAGACAAAACACCCGTATACATAAAATAAAATAAAAATTTAAAATTAAATAAAACCTCCAAAGCTCCTCTGTGGTCCTGGCCAGAAGGAAACCTTGGAGTTTAAGACCTGACTTTCACCCTCTCCTGTGCTGTGAATTGTGGCCTCTACTCCCTTCTGAAGAGAAATGGCTAGATCACTATTTCCTGAATGGCAATTCTACCACCGTTACAGAGCTGCCCTCACTAGCCACCTTCAAGGCTCAGTCCAGAAGGAACTGTCTGCCCAGCCTGGTTCCTGTCAGCTTACCCTCCTGTGAGTCCTCAAAGCCCATACTATATTCCCGAGGTTTGTTCCCTGTGACTGGGGGTGTCATCTGTCCCTCCATTACTCCTTCGTCCTCCCTGCTTTTAAAAGTTATGTATTTATTTGGTGTGTGTATATGTGTATGTGTGCATATGTGTGTGCGCTCAAGTGCATCTGTGCACACACATGCAGACAGCAGAGGTTAATGTCAGGTGTCTACTCTGTTGCTATGCCCTTTATGACTTTGCATTTCATTATAATTATTATCATTATAGTTTTTATTGCTGTGTCTGTGTCTGCGTGAGTGTATGCCATGTGTGTGGAGATGCCAGCAGAGGGCAG